TGCCAGAACAGTGTTTCACATGATTCATGACCCAGGATACTACATCAAACTGGATGTGTGTAGTTGAGTAGGACAAGAGCAAGCAGTTTGGGCGCGTGTCTTCAGGGCATGTTGCTTTTCTTATCGGAGGGATTCCCGCCTCCCCGCTTCCCTTCGTAACTGCCGCTCCCGAACTGCCAGTATCTGCAACCGCCCCCCCTTCCCTCATCAACCGCCCCCCTCCCTCCCTCCCTTCCTTTACCACACTTTGGAATTTCTTTTTTCCCTTCCTCATCCTCCCCTCCCTAACCGCCCCTCCCCCATCCTCCCCACCGCCCCCAGGACGAGTACACCAAGTTCATTTCGGATCACGGAGGTACCACAAACGCCTACACGGCCGCGGAACACACCAACTACCACGTGAGTTGGCTGGCTGGCTGGTTAGGTCTACTGGGAGGTCCTGCTGCTTTCATGTCCTGTTGTCTTGTCACATGTAAAGTGCTGGGTGGGTGGGTGGGTGGGTGGGTGAGGTCCACGATGTGCCGTTGGGCCTGTTATGAGCATACTGGCGTTTGGTGAGGAGGCTTTATATTAACTTATACACTTCATAAACAACAACAATTATGAGGTGTAACGAGGAGCGTTTTGTAAAGAATGTGCCGAGGAGGTAGCGGGCATTGACGACGACCACGACCACGACCATGGTGCCGCCCGCTGCAACTGCGCGCACCTCCTCTTCTCTTCTCACCCTAAACCCCCTCACCCCCTCAACCCCTGTTCCTGGCTACCTCGTCCACTCAGTTCGATGTGAACTGGGAGGCGCTGGCGGGCGCGTTGGACCGCTTCGCGCAGTTTTTCATCGCCCCCACCATCAGCGAGGACGGCATCGAGCGGGAGGTGAGGGGAGTTCGGCCGGGGGGAGCGGGGAGGGGTGGTGAGCTGGGGGAAACATAAGGAGGCAACTGACGAGCTGTATGACACGGCTTCACCATGAGGAGAGGGGTAAAGGTTAAAAAACGTAACACAACGAGTCCCAATCCCATATCCCGACTCATGCAGTGAGCGCATTCGGAGACACTATCCTAGAAGCACGCAACTCAAAAATTACTTACCGAATCCTTGCTTACCGTAAACCGAGACGACTTGAGGAAGAAGCCGACTTACGTGGTAACAAGGAGAAGGGGTGAGGAGGTGCGGGGTGACCCCACCCCAGCCGCAGTGCTGACCGGAGGCCCCAGGTTGCGGTCAGTGCGGTGTGGCAATGGGTGCGGTGAAGTGCGGTGCGGGGGGTCGATGCTTCCTTGCCGGGTGCGCTGACTCACCTGCCGGATGTGCCTCCCTTTCATCGTGTATTCCTACTTTACCTCCCTCCCTCCCTCCCACCTCATGCAGTTCTCCCACTACCTCCCTCTTTACCCCTCCCCCCCTTTCCTCCCCCTCTTTCCTCCCCCCCCCCGCTGCCCATTGTCTTGCCCCAACCTGTGGTTCCCTATGGTTCGGTGTATGGTCTTTGACCCCCCCCCCTGCCAGGTCATGGCAGTGGATTCCGAGCACGGCAAGAACCTGTCCTCCGACGCCTGGCGCAAGAGCCAGGTCAGCAAGGCAACCGCCAACCGCACACACCCCTGGGCGCGCTTCTCATCAGGTGGGGGTGTACGGCTGTGTGCCCAGTTAACAAAAGTGTGGATGCACCGGTATGTGCGTTCTATGCAGTGTAGGGATGCGCATTGCGATGCTGCTAGGGTGCTGCCAGGGTCGAACCAACGCACACACCCGCCCCGGATCCAACTTGATCCACTTGATCCAACACACGCCATGTCGCCCTCCATCCCCCCCACCACTCAACCATTCACCATCACCTCGGATCCGGTATCGGTAGGGCATACTAACCACCACTTCGTCTTGTGGCGCCCTGCCAACTCCTACCCCCATTGCTTTGCCCTAACTTGTGGTCTCCTATGGTTTGGTATGGTCTTTGAGGACTTTGACCCCCCACCTCCCCAAAAACCCCACCTCCCCGCCCCCCGCCGCTATTTCTTATATAATTTTGCCCCCCGCCGGCCCCCCCAGGCAACCGTGAGACGCTGTTCACGGGTCCCAAGGCCGCAGGTGCCGACCCGCGGGTCGCTGTGGTGGACTTTTACAACGCCCACTACTCGGCCGACCGCTGCGCCCTGGCGGTGCTGGGGCGGCAGCCGCTGGGGGAGCTGGAGGATATGGTGGGGGGGAGGGGGTATGGGGGGAAAGAAGATTCCCAAGGTGCCAGCCCAAGCTAAACTGCCTAAACCAAGAAGCCCTGCTAAGTGTTAGGGGTAGGGAGGGAGTGGGGGGTGTATGTGTATGTGTACGACAGGGGAGTGGGGGGGGGTTAAGAGAACTGAACCGCGAGTGTGTTGATATGCAACTAGGGCTCGATGTAAACGTGTTAGTTACAAATCCTTCTTCAATCAGAGGGTTCGCGACTTCATTGTTTTCGGTTTATCGTTGTCACTGGCAGCTCATCTGACGCTGACCTTGGAGAGGGGAGGGGAGTTGGCTGTCTTGGTCATGGTAATGTTCGGTGTTCGATGTGTGGATGAGTGGGCACACGCGCCCTACATCCGAGCTCCGTGCCGCCTAGCCTCCCGTCCTTTACTCACTGTGCGGGTAACCCCGGCCAAGCCATCCATGCGTCAATAACCCATCTCCCCTAGTTCGACTATACGCGTTCCATAAGTCCAGCCTAATGCGGAGTATGTGTCCCTATTAATTTCTTGTTAGGTTTCTCTTAACCCATCCCCCCCCTCTTCTCCACCTCCGCCCACCTACCACCACCACCACCCCCTCCCCCACTCCAGGTTCGGGAGCTGTTCGCGCCCGTGCCCAACAAGCAGCTGCCGCCCCCCTCCTTCGCCAGTGAGTGGGGAGTTTGGTGAGGAAAAGCAACCCACTTGTAACGAGGGCAAGGGAACGGGGACAGGAGGCGCCCATTAGTGAGTGGGGGGCATGAGTGGTAAAGCATTTATGGGGCGTGGAGCAGTGTTGGTCGCTGTTTACGGCTGCAACGGCCTGCTTACCAAGCACGCATCCCCCCTCACTCAAGTTGATAGTTCGGGAGGCGCGGATTGGGCCGGCTAGCACCTTGTGACACCTTATCATACAGCTTGTGCTACAGCTCGTCGGTTCCCTCCTCTCACACCCCTTTCCTTAACCCCCCCCCTCCCCCTATCCAGGCGACATGTTCCTGCCCGAGCAGCTGGGTGTGATGCTGCGGGTGGTGCCGGTGCGGGAGGGACAGAGCCTGGAGCTGACGTGGCAGGTAGGGGGGCGGGAGGAGGGTAGAGCGCGCGTGTGTGTTTTGTGCATGTTCGTGTGTGTAGTTCATGCATGTGCGTTGTATGCCTCTATGTACGTTTTATCCCTCATCCCCCCCTCCCCTCCCCCCCTTCCCTCCCCTCCCCCCCCCCCAGGTTCCCCCCTCCTCCCGCTCCTTCCGCGAGCACCCGCTGGGTTACCTGAGCCACCTGCTGGGGCACGAGGGTGGGTGCGGGGTACGACACACGTGTGTGGGTGTGTGTTAAAATAACTGGCCGTGTGTGTTAAGATTGTGTGTGTTTGGGGGGTACGTGTACGACCGTTCTTGCAACCGCATTTGCTGCCGAGCTTCCTGCCGCCTTGCGTTGCCTCGCAAGGGTGGGGACCCTTACAAGCCATTCCTCACTGGCTTGCACGCCCTCTCCCGTCCTTACCTCATCCTCCACCTCCCCCTCTTCCCTTCCCCCCCCCCGCACCCCGCAGGCGAGGGCAGTGTATTCGCGCTGCTCAAGGCGCGCGGGTGGGCGAGTGCGCTGTGGGCGGGGGAGAGCGGTGGCACACTTACCTTCGCCAGCCTGTTCACGGTGGGGGTGGGCCGGGGGAGGGAGCGGGGCGGGGCGGGGGGGGGTTGGGTGGTTGGGGGGCGGGGCGGGGAGGAGAGTGGCGGGTTTTGGTCTCTTGGATCAGGGCAACCCCCCCGGGGTGAAGGGGATGCTGCAGGGTAGGTGCAGGGCTTGTGGTATGGTTTGCTGGACCGAGAATGATAAGAACACATGCGGAGATGAGGAGGGGGTTGGAGGGATGTGGACGACGTCTGTTGTACGGCATGCGACACAGATGTATGTACGGCAAACACACCTTTCTGCCCCCGCCTGGCCCCCCCCCCTCCCCCCTCCCTCCCGCCTGCCAGGTTCACGTGGACCTGACGGAGGAGGGCGAGCGGAACATCCGTCGGGTGGCAGCCTGCGTGTTCAGGTGGGGTGGGGTGATGGGGTGTGTTTGGACTTTGGAGAGGAGGGAGGTGCGTCAAGAAAGTTGTCCGCAAGGAGGGACACCGGCACACACTGTGATTGCAGGTGATAGTCGGGCGATATGTGTGTGGAGGGGGGGGGGGGGGGCAGGAGGAGGCAGGGTGGATGGGAGTTGCAGAGGGTGAAACCCAATGGGGTGCTCCCAACGCCCGCGGCACCCGGCAGCCCGGACTCCTCATCCAAGTATGCCGCACGACGACCGACACTGGAACGCATTGAGCCAACCGAAACGCGCCGTAGGAACCCACCTCCTGGGGTTTCACTTGATTCGGGGCCGTTGGGTTCCCTTCGGTCCCTCCTCAACTCCCCTTACCCTCCCCTCCCCCCCGCCCCCCCCCCCCCCTCCTGCCCCCCTCCCCCCCAGCTACCTGGGACTGTTGAGGGCCCCGGGCGGCATCAGTCAGGCAGTGCATGAGGAGGTGGGGGGGGGCGGGTGGGGGTGAAGGGGGGGGGCGGGTGAAGGGGGGGGGCGGGTGAGGGTGAGGGGGGGAGGGGTTAATAAAAGTAGTGACGCAAGCAAAACTGGGCCGAGAGTCGGAACATAAAATATCCATGCCCCCTCCCTCACAGGTTCGCGGCCTGGCCCAGCTCCAGTTCGACACGCGGGACAAGTCGCGACCGCTCACCTACTGCACCAACATCGCCAACGGACTGCAGCTCTACCCGCCGCAGGTGGGCGGGGGCGGGGGGGCGTGTGTGTTTCGTGCGCGTGTGTGCTGAGGAAACTGACCGTGAGTCGGAGCATACTGTGATTGCCGGAAGATGAGGTCCCCGCAGAAACGCCACGGGAGCCGAGGAGTATGGTGGCGCATGTAGAAGTATAAGTGTGACGGCGTGTGTCGATGTTTCGTGCATGCAGGATATGTGTGACTACAAAGCTTTTGGGTACCAAACGAAACACCACCAGTAACGAAGACTCTGTTGGCTATGTCTTTGTGTTTAACTAGTACCCACCGTTCCACCCTCTCTTGTGTGTCGTACACACCCTCCCACCCCGTCCGGCCCCGCAGGACATGCTGCCTGCCCTGTACGGCGTCCCCCGTGTGTTTTCCCCCGAGGCTATCCGGGAGTTCTTAGAACTCCTCACACCCGCTCGTGTACGGCTGTTCTGGATTAGTAAGAGCCATCTCAAGTCCTCGTCACATGAGACCGCTAGCAGCAGCGCTTCTGACACTGCTGCTGCTGCCACTGCTGGCGCTGCTGCTGCTACGGGCAATGGTGCCGATGACGTCAGCAACAACAACGGCAACAGCAACAGCAATGGCAATGGTGCCGTACTCCTGACTGAGCCGATATACGGCACTCGGTACGACATCTCCCCCCTGCCCCGGGAGTGGCTGGCGGAGTGGGAGGCGGAGGTGGCGGCGGGAGGAGCGGAGGCGGCAGGGGATGCAGGGGAGAAGGAGGGGGAGAAGAAGATCAGGTGGGGTTGGGGGAAGAGGGGTGGGAGGTGGGAGGTGGAAGGTGGGAGGGCGTGTGTGTAGGGAGGGGCAAGGAGCGTGAGGTTGTGGAAAGGGGAGGAAAGGTGGGGAATGGTGGCGACCCCTGGTGTCCCCGCATGGTCCCAGATGTAAAACACACAGCCTTCCCTCCCTCGGCTCCTTCCTCCCTCCCTCCCTCCGAATGCGCTCACTGCATGAGTCGGGATATGGGATATGGACTTGTTATTTTAATTTTTTATCTTCTCCCCTCCCTCTCCCCCTCCCCCCCCCAGGCTGCACCTGCCCGCCCCCAACCCCTTCATCCCCACCGACCTCTCCCTCTGCTCCGACGAAGCGGCCGCCGCCCCGGAGCACCCGCAGGTGTGAGCAGACGGGCGGGAGGGGGGAGGCGGGGGGCGGGGCGGCACACCCCCTTTGGTGCAACCCGCATGCCTGCTGGGGGGCCTTGGTGCAACCCGCATGCCTGCTGGGGAGCCTTGTTGCAACCCGCATGCCTGCTGGGGGGCCTTGGTGCAACCCGCATGCCTGCTGGGGGGCCTTGGTGCAACCCGCATGCCTGCTGGGGAGCCTTGTTGCAACCCGCATGCCTGCACCCGCATGCCTGCTGGGGAGCCTTGTTGCAACCCGCATGCCTGCTGGGGGGCCTTGGTGCAACCCGCATGCCTGCTGGGGGGCCTTGGTGCAACCCGCATGCATGGGTCGCAACCCCTTTGGGTTGGTATGGCCTATAAGGCACATGGCTAGTCCCTCCTCCTCCTCCTCCTCCTCCTCCTCCTTGCTACCCAAAGACCGCAACAGGCGCATCACAGCATGCGCCCCCTGGTGGCTCTTTGGCTTCCCTCCCGGCCCCTTGCCGTCCAGCGTCCGATGTCCGGAATGTTGCCGATATAACACACTTAAGGAAACTTACTACACCCCCTCAGGTGGCGGTGGCGGTGCCCGGCCGGCTGCGACTGTGGCACAAGCCGGAGACGCGGTTCGGTCAGCCCAAGGCAGTGCTCAACCTAAACATCTACGTAAGGGGTAAAGAGGGAACAAGTAACTGACCGTGTGATAAGGCATCATCATGGTTTGCAACATGTGAGCCAGCCCGTAAGGGGTGGTGGTGGTGGTGTTATATCGGCAATATACGGAGGGCTTGCATACGCCTATGATCTTTTGTCTTGGACTGGCTCCCGACCTCACTCGTGTACGTGTGTGTGTCGTACATGTACGCCCTACTGCCCCGGGGGTCGCAGAGTCCGGAAGCCTACGCCAGCCCCCGAGCTGCTGTGATGACTCGGTGAGGGCGGGAGGGGCAAAGAGGGAGGGGATATGGGAGGAGGGGGCGTGGGGAAGGGGCTATGCGGGGGGTAAAAAAAATATAATGAGACACTGACGAAGCAACTGACGAGCTGTATGACAAAGCATCACCATGGGGGGGGGTTGGATCGATGGGGGTTCCGGAGGCATAGGGGACCCGTACAGGCCCTGGCGGGCTGTGTGACTGGGTGCCGGTATGTAGACCGGAAGGCCCCGCTCTGCGTTTTCACCGCCGCCAACGCCCCCCTCCTTTCCTCCTCCCCCTCCTCCTCCCCGTTCCCCCCGCCCTATTCCTCCCGTGTTGGTTTTCCTCTAACCCCCTCCCCTACCCCGGCCCCCCTCCCCTACCCCTCCCCCCCCCTCCCCAGCCTCTTCACCAAGCTCATGCTGGACTACCTGAACGAAGTGGCATACCCCGCACAGCAGGTGGGGAGGAGGGGGGGAGAAGAGGGGGGGAGGGGTAGGGGTAGGGGGGGGAGGAGGGGGGGAGAAGAGGGGGGGAAAAGAGGGGGGACAGGGAGGGGGGGGTGTAGAAGCAGCACCTGAGCTACGGACCAGACAGTGACCAGAGCCGTATGCACCCTGCATCTCCTCCTACTACCGGATACATCTTCCCTTCTCCCGCCTCCCCCCTTTCTTCCCCCCCCACCCTCCCTCCCTGCCCCCCTTGAGGCAGGCGGGTTTGGACTACAACCTGCTAAACACGCAGTCGGGGTGGCAGCTGTCGCTGGGCGGTTTCAACCACAAGCTGCCCGAGCTAATGGCGGAGGTGCTGGGGCGGCTGCCGGGGTTCAAGGTGGGGGGGAGGGGTAAACACAGGGGGGAGCGTGTGTGTATGCGTGTGTCGATAAGCTTGGCGTGTGTCACAGCACCTGCGCCCTCTACGGCAGGTGGTTGACCTGGCGGGGTGGTGGTTCAGTGTGTGTATGGGTTTTCCATGACTTCGCGCTTTAATTATGGCGACCCGCGGGTCATCGAAACACCTCTTTTTACTCTTCCCTCCCCCCCTACCCCCCCCCCCAGGTTAGGTTTAGTTGTCATTTCACTGGCACCGCACGTTTTGCACCTTCTCCATATCTAGATCATTATACCCATACTGCGCTTGCACTAAATTAAGCATGCTCGTCCCATGCCGTACTTCGCATCGCCGCCTTTCGCATAAATACTAACTCTCGGCATAGTCCCGTCTCTTTCATCACGATAAGTCAGCCATCTTCATCGTCATACAGCATGCGTCAATATACAGCGCAGCTCGCAGCACCAGCACAGCACAGGGACGCATGCCTGCCTTCTGTTCGCTCGTCGCGCCGCCTTCTTGTGTCTCTGGACGCTTTTCGCTCACTATTAACAAAATTTGGTACGTCTTCGCTGCACAATTTTCCCTTGCTACGCAGGTTAGTCAGGGTTCGGACTAGTGGATGGGCTGGGCTTTGTTAGACCCATGGGTCATTTGCGAGGGTCGGGCAGGGTGGGATGCTTTGGTGCACACAGCCGCATGACAGCCCCAGCTAAGCAGCGGAGCTTACATACGTTATGCTGCTGACAGCATTGCAGCACAGACATCAGGTCTAGCGCAGTGGAGCCAGTTATCACAGTAGCAGCCGCCTTTTATTCGCCAATGCAGAGTGATCTCAGATCACCCCAGCTGCCACGGAGCTTACAATACGGTTTGTTACTGATTGATGCTACTAACTATACAACAACTACAATTATATGCTAACCCAAATATCCAGCCTAATTGGGATTCTGTTTTCAAATTACCCCCCCCCCCCCCCCCCAGGTCCTGCCCGACCGCTTCCAGTTCGTGCGCGAGGGGTTGTTGCGCGAGTACGCCAACCAGCAGCACAACCAGCCGTACAGCTGGGCCATGTACCGGGGGGAGCTGCTCACCACGGTACGGCGCTGGCCGCTGGAGCTGTACGGCGGGCTGGCGGCGGAGGTGAGCGCGGAGGAGCTGCAGGCGTTCGTGGGGCAGCGGCTGCACAGCAGGTGGGTGGGGAGGGGGTGGGGGGGGGCTGGGGGGGGGGGTTGGAGGGGGGGTTTACTAGGACGTGCATGGGTTGGGTTTGGTGATTGAGCGGGTGTACCCCGTTGAGGTTGATCGCAGGTGGTTGGAGTTGGTGGTTTCACTGGGGGGGAGGTAAAAACTAATGAGACACTGACGATGCAATTGACTGGGGGGGGCGTTGGGGTGGCGGGGCGGGGCGGCAGAGGGTGTCTTCGCGAACGGCATGCAGCGCATGAGGTCCCCTCCCGCGGCTCCTCTTCCATACACCCTACACCCCAACCCCCACCCTAACCCTGCAAGACACAAGAATGCCCTCCTCCTCACCCCAGGAGGTGCCAGCTGCTTCTCCCGCCACTGCTTTGCCCTAATTCATGATTTCTTATGGTACTGGTTGCTCTCTTCACCCTGCCTACCACCTCCCTGCCAGGTGTTTCGTGGAGGGCCTAGCCGCCGGCAACATGCGCCGCAACCAGGTGCTGCACTGCGCCCGACTGCTGCTGGGCTGCCTGAGGGACGGCTGCGGAGCCGCGCCGCTACACCCCGCGGAGATGCCGGAGCTGCGGGTGGTGAGGGTGCCGACACAACCGCCAACGGACATGCAACCGCCGGCGGCGGCGACGGCAGCGGCAGCAACGGCCATGGCGACGACAGAGACAACGGGGGCGGGGGCGAGTGGCGGGGGCGCTGAAGGAAGCAAGGAGGAGGGCGGGAGTGGCAGTGGCAGTGGCGGCGGTAATGCCGTTAGTGACGGTTGCTTCAACGGTTGGCTGTTTTGCGAGGGAGTGCCGAATGGAACGGATGAGAACTCGGCGGCTGTGATTGTGTTCCAGGTGGGTGGGCAGCTGGATTGGGAGGGCAGGGGCGGAAGGAGGGAGAGTGAGGGGTTTAGGCGGAAAGGGTGTATCGGATGATCCGCTTTCCGCGCCCGTGTCCCTGCCCTTTTCTTCCTCTTTCCCTCCACCTACTCCCTTGTGCAGCACGGCCCCCTGACGCCTACCTACCACTTCCACTCAACTGCCCTCCTCACCTCCCTTTCTCCTCGCCCCTTCCCCCCGCCCTTTCCCCCGTGTGCAAAACACACACACTCGAAACACACACACGCCCCCCCTCCCCCCTCCCCCCCAGCGCGGCCCCGACGCCTACCGCTCCAACTCGCTGGGGTCGCTGCTGGTGCAACTGTGCAAGCGCGACGCCTTCTCCGAGCTGCGCACGAGGCAGCAGCTGGGCTACATAGTGGCGCTGCACGGGAGCAAGGAGCACGGAGTGGGGTTCATGGAGATGGTGGTGCAGGTGGGGAGGAGGGGGGTGGGGGGGGAGGGGGAAGAGGGAAGGGGGGAGGTACGGCAGAACATGTTACCTTGTGTGTGTTTCAACCGAGCTGTGTGGGTGTGGGTGGGTGGGTGTGGGGGTGTGGGGGTGGGGGCTGTGTGTGGGTGTTTTGCACCGTCGCATCCATTGATGCACCCGTTCAGCGACGATCTTTTGCAAATTGCACACGCTGTGTCGCACAGCACGTGATGCGCTGCTGCCTTTATTGTGCCCTGCTGCCGTACGGATATCGTACATACCTGTCGTACCCGCCTGTCGTACATGCCTGTCGTACCCGCCTGTCGTACGCAACTGCCGTACACAACTGTCGTACGCAGTCCAACATGTACGATGCGGAGGAGCTGTGCCGCCGCATGGATGACTTCATTGCGGCGATGGTGGAAACAGGTGGGGGAGCTGGGGCGGGAGGAGAACTAAGGGAGGGAGGTTGCCTTGGGTTTACTGACTATGGCCTCGATTAACAACATCGTCAGCCAACCATCTGCGACCGCCGGCACCTCCCGTGTGTGTATGTTAAAATAACTGGCCGCGAGTAGGAACATACTGGGATGTCGGAAGATGAAGTCCCCGCAGAACCGCCGCAGGAGCCGAGGAATAGGGTAGCGTATGTACATATAGAAGTCCAATACTGGTGCTGAGAGTAAGTAGGACGTAAGAAGCACTCTCGTAAAGCGACCGGACCGAAGGCCCGTAGTAGTGTGTGTATGTATGTGTTACAAGCTTCGTACCGAGCTCGTAAGATCCGTCCGAGCCAGAAGGCTCATGGATCGCGAGCACAAAACGCGAAAACAACCAAAAGAAGAAAAGTAAACAGAAGAGACAACAAACAGAACGCTAATCATATGATAAACCCTGTCTGCGCAATCCTGCGACTTCGCATGCTAGTGATTACGCTAGCAAGCAATGCCTGATTCTCCATGCCCATGACAGCAATCATATCAGCATCCCGTGAGACACCACTTTCCCATATCTTAGCACGCAAATCATCGTAAGCGGGACATTCAATGAGGATGTGTTTCTCATCTTCCACTCTCCCCGGCGACCCCTGCACGGCACACATAGGACAGACACGCGCTACTCGTTGCCTACCCCTAGGGCGATTGGCTTCAATGCCCCACACACACAGCCGAAAACGCATCAGGTTCACATGCTGCCGCTGAGTAATGTACCCCCTGTCAACCGGGTCACCCATCCAATTTTTGTACCTGCACATCTTAACTCCAACCCCTGGTACGGGGTCTACTGGGTTGAAAAGCCGCGGGTCATCTTCCAAACTCCTATCCTCCCAATCTGCATCCATTCTATCAGCAAACTTTTTAGTGAGAGCAGACACATTTAGCTCCGTGCCAGCAATACGTTCCACACGCGCACCCAAGTCCAACTCACCCCCCAAGGCCGTCAAATCCGTCCCTAACATTTTCAGAATCTTCAACACCTTAGAACCCCAGCCATCATAATGCTCAGTACTGAGGGCCGAACGAATTTCACCTCGCAACGCCTGGTGGTAGACCGTGTCCTTCTGCTTGACCAGGTCATTCCAAAACCTCAGAAACAGTTCCAACCAGAAGACATGCAAGGGGCGCTGGTTAAACTCCTTAAACAGCAACTTATCCGGCGAGACTTTCACACCCGCAATCTCCCGAAGAAATTCCCTTTGTAACTGCACCATTGGGTCCCGCAAGGATCTGTCAAAGTACCTCCCTGTGTTGGTTCGTACATGCTGTGTGTTGGTTCGTACATGCTGACTTTGTTTGACCTTAGTACAAAAGGCTGCTGCTGCTGCCGTCATGTTAGCCTCCCCGAATGTCCCTCCCCTTCCCCCCTCCGACCCTCGCCCCTCCCAAACCAAATTCGCTCGTAACGTGGGATTGGGACTCCAGTTGCTTCACTTCTTATTCACTTGTTTGCCGTTTTTCCTCCCAAACCTTCAGAACTGCCGCTCAAGTGCGGCCTGGCACCCGCACCCACATCCGAGGAGGAGCAAGCGCAGCAGCAGCAGCAGCAACAGGGGGCCGAGACTGACGCCGCAGCAACGGAAACCGCTGCCCAACTGCCGCCGTCCCAACCGTCAACCACCTCAACAACCACCCCAGCCCAAACTGAGTTTGAGATTGCGGTGGAGGAGCTCGCAAAGTCCAAACTGCAGGCTCCTAAAAAGCTAGGTAGGGCGTTGGGGCGTTATGGGCGGTGGGGCGTAAGGGTGTTGGGGTGTTGGGGCGTTCGGGTGTTATAGTTTGTGCCATTCCGTTAGCCGTTGCGCAGCGCTTGCATTATGTTGCCACTGGCGTAAACCGTGCCACGATTGCGGTTCGCTTCTGAACCAATCGGCCCAGCATGTGTCCTTCGCAAGGGGGGGTGGGGGTTCCGGGGCTGGAGGGTGTGAGGGACCTGGAGTGCGGTTTGACCCGCCGCGCATCTGTCTTGTTTCCTTGTTATCCGTTGTTAACGATGCGTTAATAATACGTTGGTTACGTTGCTTACGGACAGTCATCTACATAATTTACCGAATTCGCCAAATCCTGCCGTACACTCACCCACCCACCCACCCGCCCAGGCGACCTGGTTGGGCCCTGGTGGTCGGAGATCTCGCACGCCACCTATTGCTTCGATCGCAAGGTACGGCACACGGGATTGGTACGACACACACACACGCTCCCTCTTCCTCCTCCTTGACACCTTTCTTGCTCGACACTTTCCGCGGGCATTCGTAATCAAGCACATCCAGTGCAAAACACGGTGTTCAACGGCCAACAGCTGCCGATGACAAGGAAAACAGAGGCGCGAACAGAGGGAGTTGTTTTCAGAGAGGCGGGGCGCACTACTAGTAAAGCCTACCCTGCTACACCCCGCTCCCCAGCTCCCCATCGTAGTCGCCTCCTCCCAGCCCGCCTTTTTCTCCCGTCCCCGTCCCAACCCGCCTCATCCTCCCCACCCCCAAACCCCACGCAGGAGGCTGAGGTTGCAGCCCTGCGCTCCGTCACGCCGGAGGAGCTGCTGGCATTCGCGCGGGCGCAACTGACCCCTGGGTCACCCGACTGCCGCAAGCTGAGCATCCAGGTAGGAGGGGGAGGAGCAGGAGGGGAGCAGCGGTGGCGGGTTTAGGAGCAGGGAGTGGAGTGGCGGGTGGGGCATGACCTGGTGCGGCCGGTGGGGTGTTGTACCCATCCCCCACCAAAAGGGGGATGTGTGTTGTCGTTATTGTTGATGATGATGTGGTGGTGGCAGCACGGCGAGGACCGGTAGACAAGCTCTTCCTGCTGTGACCCATGGGTCTTTCGTGTGGCCTGCTGCAGGGCCTGGGGGCCGCTGCAGCACCTGCGCCCGACCCTCTCGTCCCGCTCCTTCCAGTCCTCCACTGCCCCCGCACATCTGCCACACTTTGACGTATGCAACAGCCCGTGCCCGCCGGCCCCCCTTCCTCCTTCTACACATAAACGCTGTCATCGTCCCTCCTGCCATTCCCCACCCTCAGGTCCGTGGAAAGGCGGAAGCCACTCGCCGCCAGGAGGCCGCCGCTGCTGCCTCTTCCTCCGAAGCCTCCGCCGCGGCCGACACACCTGTGCCTTCTGAGCCCGCAGCGCTCGCCGCCGCTGCCGCCGCCGCCACCCCCCGACTGCCGTACGCCCCCATCCCCGCTTCCGACCCCTTCGAGTGGAAGCGCAGTTGCGAGGCGTGGCCCTCCGTGAGGGCCCTATGGGCGGCCAGGAGGGCGGCGGAGGGGCGGCCGCCGCTGCCGGAGAGCGTGGCGGAGGCGGAGGCGGCGGAGGCGGAGGCGACGGAGGTGGATACGGCAACCGGCGTGGGAGCAGCGACGGCGGGAGCGGGAGTGGGTGCGGCTGCGGCTGCGACGGCGGCAAAGGAGGAGGGGGTAGCTCCGCCGCCGATGGGCCCACCGTCGGTGGCGGGCGAGGGTGTTCCTGTCAGCAGCGGTTAGGGCGATTAAAACGGTTAGGACGGTAAGGGCGGTTAGGGATGTTTGGACGGCTTCAGGAGCAGCAGCAGTGCTGGGGTAGGTGGAGGGCGTGTGGGTAAAAAATTATATAAAAGTGAAACAACAAATCCCAATCCCATATCCCGACTGGCGTGTGGGTGTGGGCGTGTGGGTGGGTGGTGGGGGAAGTTAGGGCGGTAAGCGGGGTGGTCTTGGCGGGTGGGAGGGGTGGTGGAGTTTCAAGTCAGCGGAAGTGACGGTGGGGATATAATAGCGGTGTTCTGATACGGTTGACTGCGGCGCGCTGTGCATGGGAGACGGGGGTTTGCGCCTAGTCAGAGCTAGGAAACACGGATGAAGAATTGGTTGCTGTGTCGACAAATGCAATCATACCATGCCATACGAACACACGACGAAGATGCTTTTGGACTGTGAATCTGGGCTGGTCGGTGGGTTGTTGGCTTAGCGGTGTGCCTCTCACGCGCTCTCACGCACTCCAACGCATTCTGATGCACTTTCACGAGTTGCCAGAACCTCAGGCGGTGGTGGCTACCATGAAGAGAACAGGGCTGCGCCTCTCACCTGAGGCCTCACGGGGCGCTTCGGAGGTTTTTGGCGGTTGGGGTTCCCATTGAACAGCTCTGTGTGTGCTGTGTACAGACTTACAGAAAGATGGCCAGGCTTACAGAAAGATGGCCAGACGGTGTATGTAACAGGGGCCGCTAGTGAAGGGAGGCGCAGGAGGGGAGCCAGCAGACGGCGTTTGCCAGCTGCTTCGCAAGCTGCTTCGCAAAAAGTCGTGGTCTAGTCTTACCTTAGCACAATACGGTAGGCAGTCTTGGGCATGTCTCGACACCATGCATTGCACTGCAGCGGTGCACCGGTATGAAACCCACAGCGCTGCACAGTGCGGTGTGTCGCGCCTGGGATGCAGGGCACCTGTTGGGGGAGGAGATCAGCTGTTGCCTGGGGTTGCCAATATTGGTCCACAAGAGTGCCCAACCTACTGGATATGGGACTAACAATAAGTAGCTGCAGGAGGTCTTGAGAACGGGCGTTGGAGCTGACCTGTATCATCTTCAGACAGGCTGCGGAAGAGCGGGGCATGATAGGGGGAGGCCTGGTTGCCGCTACGGAGCTGTATGGTGCACGATGCAGGGATAAAACTGCACTGGAAGATGCTGTCGATAAACATGCTGGTTGCCTGGGTAACGTGCGATGAGCTGCTGGTCTGCGCAATAGCAGTTGTGAGGCTCAGGGGCCATTCCTTTTAGTTGTGAAAGCGCAGATGGCTGTCGTACAGGCAGTACGGCTACCGTAATTGGCAGCCATATGTGCCGGATAATACTGCCAGTAAGCATCAAAGAATTTGAAGCTTTGATGAAACCTGTACCAGCAAAAAAGCATGTTTATGGTTGCGTAGGTTAGTGTCGCCCATGGATGGGACATTCACCCCATCGAACCTTCCGTGGTATGGATGTTGCCAAAGGCCGGTGCAGGCCTTTTGTCTTGTTGTTGTTCGACAAGTGCTTTACGCGTGCAGAGTGTGACTTCTATTAATAGCAAGGTGCGCCACGTTACGAATGTTGTCGTACTACAAAATCTGCAAGGCAGTCTCTGTGGGGACTGGCTTAGGAGTAGTTTAACCAGACAATTTATACCAAATACGTGCTCAACTTCACTCTAGTGCAAATTCCCGTTGCGCAAATGAGACAAGCTTGCATAGACCCGTTGAGAAGTCGGCAGACTCAATTGGCCTCAATTGCTAGGTTCTCAATATGCCCAGCTCGTCCGATACATTATCTGCCCGAGCGTATGGTGGTTTGCACACGTTCCGCCGCGGAGGAATGCGAGCCTCAACCTGAAGCGTCGACGAGCGCACCCTCTGGCGACGGGCAGCTTAGGCTGCGGCGTCGATTTGTACAGCGGCCGTCAGTGTCGAAAGAAATATCGACTGCAACGCAGCCCGAAATTGTCGAGCCCACGGCGCAGCAAGCGGCGTCAAGCAGCAGCAAGCCTGCCCAGCCCAGCACCTCATATCATACGGATCCAGATGTCGACAGAGAGAGATATGAAAGGATAGTATTGGACGAAAGCAGCCCGCTCTACCAGCCTGCACTAACGGACGAGGATTTAGAGCAGGACCCGCCGGGACATCGATCCGGCTACGTCGCGGTCATCGGCAAGCCTAACGCTGGGAAGTCTACTCTCATCAACGCGCTAGTTGGTCAAAAACTGTCTATAGTGACCTACAAGCCGCAGACCACACGCCATCGCATCATGGGCATCGCCTCCGACAAAGACTATCAGATGATCCTCTTCGATACTCCGGGCGTCATCGAGCGCAAACGCAACAAGCTCGAGGAGCGCATGATGGCGGCAGTCGTGCATTCCATCAGGGAGGCTGAAGCCATCATCGCTGTCGTCGATGTCGCTGACCAGCCAAAGGAGGCCCTGCAAATGTTCCAGCCAGGCGAGAACTGGACCGGGCCTCCCATGGCCGTTCTGCTGAACAAGGCGGACCTGCTGAGCGAGTCGGAGGTGGAGGAACTGCGCGCCTGGTACAAGGAGAATTGCCGAGTGGAGGAGGTACGCGGAGGCAGGCAGGCAGGAGGCGGGGAAACGCTGCTGAGGGCTGCTAGCGCATTGGATGCCGCCCCCTCGCCTTCTCGCTGTAGATCTTGAGTTTCATGTCCGTCTTAACTTTCCTCTGCCCCTCGACTCCTCCCCTCGCCGCTTCCGCAGGTGTTTGTGGGCAGCGCGGAGCGGCGGGAGGGGCTGGAGGAGCTGCGCGGCTGGGCGGTGTCGCGGCTGCCCGAGGGGCCCACCCTGTACCCCAAGGTGGGTGGGTAGAAAGGGAAACTGACGAGCTGAATGACGAGGGGGCTTCACCATGGGTTGCTACAATGGACCTGGCCCATCCTATCCAGGGATGGGGACGTGGGGTTGGGTTTCGGAGCCATGCGTGGGAAAAGAAAAAGACCCATGCGTGGATTTTGGTTTCGGAGCCGGTTTTGCGGCACGCTGTTATAGCCGGGAAGCGTGCAGATGGACGTATGGTGTGCGGTATGCATCGGAAGGGGTATCGAAAAGGGTTACGACCCACGGGTCGTTGAGTGGCAGCACACCTTAATGAGGAGTCCCCAAGCTGACAAGGCTTAGGAGGGTTGCATCTGTGGATCCGTTCGGTCGGCCTGCTTTCCCACTTTTCCCGCTACCATGCACACCGATGTGCCACCATTGTTGTACAACTGAACATGGATTGCAACATGCGTACATGTCCGCAACATGTGTGAATGGCCTTCCGCCGGGTGTTCTGCCACCGCAGGACATCGTTTCGGAGCAGCCGGAGCGGTTCTTCGTGTCGGAGTGTGTTCGCGAGCAGGTGGGGGCGCTTGCGGGGGGCAGGTGGGCTGGTAGCACCTGCTGCGCTGCGCTGTGCTGTGCTCGTGTGCTGTGCTGTGCTCGTGTGCTGTGCCGCGTGCACAACAGACATGCATATTACTACTGCTCTTGCTGTTGTCCGCTTGCGAACTGGTTCCCGCATAACCGGTTTCATAACCGCTCTTTGTGGTCGGTGCAAATGGCACACCAGGGGTGGGTTCCGGTTCTCGCCGTCTGCATCGTAAGCTTCCCCCTCCCTCTCTACCCTTCCAACCGCTGTCTCTCTCTCTCCCGCAGATCTTCCTGCAGTGTGAGCAGGAGGTGCCGTACTGCACACAGGTGGGCCCCGGGGGGAAAGGAAGGATACCCAATGCGCTGTCCGGGTCGGGGAGAAGAGAAAGGGGAAGGGCCCCGAGCGGTGGAGGAAGGAGTGGTGGGAGGGACGGAGCAGCGCAGCGTGTCTTCTGTCCTGCTAGGGCTGCTATAGGGCTGCTAGGGCCTGGCTCCCCGTTCGAGAGACCCCCGGGAGGTGCTTCTGCCTTGTAATTGTTGTAAAGGCATCTCCCGCCACGATTGCGATGAGTGAGTGCATGCGGAACCTTAGCGATCCTCCCCCGTGGCATTGGTTAACCGCCCGCTTCCCTCCCTCAACTCGCCCTCGTCTCACTCCTCAACCTTCCCTCCCCCCTTCTCTCCTCCCCCCCCTCTCCCAACAGGTGCTGATTAAGGAGTTCGCGGAGCGGCGGCGCGGATCCAAGGACTTTGTAGCGGCGGAGATCGTGGTGGAGAAGGAGAGCCAGAAGGGAATTCTAATCGGCGCGGGAGGCATGCGGCTGCGATCCATCGGCGCGGCGGCGCGGCAGGAGATCGAGACGTTCCTGGGGCGGGGTGTGTACCTGGAACTGTCTGTGCAGGTGGGGGCTGAGGCGGGGGGGTGGCGAGGGCTGAAGAGGAGGCGGGAGGATTGCGTATAGTGTTACTCGGAAGTTCGGATTAAGTGGGTTGTGGATGTGGAGGAGGAGTTGTGCAGGCAACCACATGTTTGGGCAAAGCAAAGGGGGTAGCTGGATTTGGGAGCGGGAGTGGCGTGAAGGCAGGGACGAGGGCAGGGCGGCATGTTGACGGTTGGTTGACCGACCGTTACAGGGATCCCAAACCTGTCTGTTGCCCTCTCAAGTTTTTGCCGTACGCCAGCTGATTGCCGTACACTACTGGCTCACCTCACCTTCTCCCTCACTCCTTCCGCAGGTTGCCAAGGACTGGCGGGACAACAAGGAGGCTCTCAACAAGTACGGCTATTTTAACCCCATGATCATCTAGACGTGTGCTCAGTACGACATGTGATCTAGGGAGTAACGTTGCGCCCGATGCTCTCGCCTAATGGTGATGCTAGGATGCCGTACTTTACAATGAGACGAGCCTGGACGAGCAGTAAAAAGGAAGCACCATCGGGATGCGCTAGCGGCCGACGCTAGCCTGGCAGTTGTACGGAAACCAACCCGTACAAGCACGGCGAGGCAGGACGTTCCAACTGCCATACGTTCATGTAGCGCCAGGGCTTCCCCGGGTTCCAGGGCTTCCTTTCTGTTGCGCCAGACTACCGGTATACTGGTCGTGTGTGGCGTACAGGGTGTGGTGTATACGGCGGTTGGCATCGGCGCGGTGGCCTTGCACGATGGTGCATGTGGTGCAAGTAATGTGGATACCCTGCTGAGTATTGACGCCGAACCTTGTTCGAACATGGGAAAACAGTTAGGGTATCATTCGGACGCTGTTGGGATTTTCGTACATATGCTCGTTTTGTACCCCAGCGTCCGTGCACACCTACTTGGATGTAGGCTTGTAAATGAAAATGCATTGTGCTTTCCCAACAAATACCTTATCGAACATGCTGCATTGCAGCATGATTGGAAGCTTAGGCAGGGCGCGACTTTCACTTGAGTGCTTCCTGGGGAAAGCACAAGCAACACTACGGCGAAGGGGGATCTGCAGAGAGATTACCAGGCAGATTTCGTCCCCTCACCAGCCAGGTATGTTGTGAAGAGAAAGAGATTGGCACCGTTACAACTGCCAAGAGGCTACAAACAAGCCAACCACCCCATCCCGCGGCGTTTCCTTTGCGCAGGGAAACGAAAATGTAGCTATTACACTGCGATAGTAGTATGACTAGTAAAAGAGTAGATGCACTTGGCTAAGGCGCTAATGTACGCGATAGGCCTACAGGCTTACCTCACATCCTGTGCCGCGGGGGCGACAACGATGTCTAAACACAACACAGCGCTAGGGCAGAAACACGGGCACCGTGTATATTGCTTGTGCGTTTGCCAAAACACGAGCATCGGTGCATCGCTTAACTCACATGTTAGTGTCGTACTTGGCTAGGGAAACAGGCACTAGATGGCACCCTGGCATACGCATCCACACAAAAAGGTATTAGCTTATCCTGCGACTTCCGACACGTTCCTTGAATTCATTGAAACGCAGTTGTTTCTCATGGGCCGTGGTGCATACAGAGGCAGCTGCTGTTGTTAGCTGTGGCACCTATTTTCTTACTCTACTGCACACAACCACATAACTGTACTCCCTAAAGCGCAAGGCATTTGGGAATGCCGCAAAAAGGTCTGCCCTCGCTCCCTTACGGTCAACCGCAGCCAGCAGAGTCTGATATCATTTGTGACGCCTGCAGGCGATGATGAGATTCCTGAGGAGGACTTTGATCTGTGCGACGGAGACGCAATGGTGCGTTGCGCGGAATGCCGAACTCACAATCTGTAGGTTACAGTGAGCTTTCCGCTATTGTAGATTGACGGAGACGAGGAGGAGATTGACATAGTTGACGACGGTAGCAAGCTCAGCGACGAGACCCGGAGGTTCGACAGCATTGTGGGAGCGCTTGAAGGTGCGTTTGTGGCACTGTTGATTCAAACGGGCGTTAGGGCTAACACGTTGCCTTCTTGCACAGATGTATTAATGGATCCAGATTTCGAGGAGCTCAGAGAGGGCTTCTGCCGCGAGAACTGTCAGCACTTCGAGGTACGCGGCCTGGGCCCCGCGGCCGCGGCACTTCCCGAAGTACTCGCTGACGCTTCCATCCCCGCAGGACTCGGACGAGAACAAGCTCATCTACACAGACATCTTCTCCAAGTATACAGAACTTGTTGAGCGCACGATTGAGAGCAAGCTTGCAGACGCAGTGCCAGGGTTCAGCATGCAGGAGTTCATGTCGCTCCTCGAATCGCACAAGGACAACCTCATGTCCGACGTGTTTGACCTGCTCCTATCGCTAGCGGACTTCGAGACGTTTAAGGAGGTAATGCTCTCCTACAAGCGCGACCTCAGCGAGGGTCCCACGTTCCAAATCAACTGCACGCCCCTGCGCGTGTACACGGAGGTGGGTGGTGCGCATGGCTGCGGGAAAGTGTTACGCAAGGGTGGATGGGAGCGTTGAGCTTGAACCATACTTGCTTCCTGAGCAACTCGTCCCTACGCCGGTGGGCTCGTTACAACTGCATGGACGACCACGACAAGTCTACCAGCCACACCAGAGCAATGCGATGAATACTAGGACCCACTTTCCCGCCAGGACCCCAACCCTCTGTGCATGCTGGAATGGACAAGCCTGCAACAAATGCAACGCCTTCAAGTGCAAATCCTGACCACAGCGTTTGTATGGCGCACCCACCCCTCCCTCACGCCATGCAGGAGCAAGAGGACGGGGATGCGCGGCCGGACCTGGACCTCTCGCTGCAAATCTCACCCATTGGAGCTGGGTCGTCGTCTAAGCGGTGATGCGGTGCAGCGCGTGGGCGCAGCTGGCAGGGATGGCGGCGAGGCGGCTCCATACATGTGCAACTAGCCTTTCATGCAGTGATGGACGCCCCAGCCATGCATTCATGGGGAGCAGAGTACTCAGAGGCATGGTAGTGGCATGGCGCGGTAGACAGGAGGGCGGGCCGATGTGTCACAGGTGGGAAGGAGGCGGACGGGTATGGGCGCTTAGATTGTAGGGAAGTCGTAATGGGGTTGGTCGCGTGTCTGAGGGCTGTTTAAGCAACCAGCATATGCGGTCCCATGGGTGCAGCCCAGTAGTTGTTGGGTGTACAAAGGTTGTCGTCCCCTTGTCAAAGGGCAACATGGAGAGAAACGACTGGGCACTGGGAAGGGGGTATCCATCGCGCGTCATGACAGCGCACGTTTGCGTGCTTAGGCAAAATAGGTGCACGAAACGTGTGTTCGTTGCCTTGTGTTATATGTGTTGTAGCTACCCATGAGGCGGGCGTGAAGTACGAATGCGCGCGACTTCGGTGGGGACACTTCGAGTGCAGTTGAGCTTTTCGGGCGCCCGGCTTTTGGGGGACTGAAGTTGGCGCACCTGGGTCAGCATCCTAATAACCTAACAGATTTTAGAGGTCATTAGAAATTCTATGCCGGTCTTTTGGTGGACGCCATGGTTTAGCAAGATAGTTGTAACCCTTTGGTCTTAAGGTATGAGATTAACTTGTAATGCAGACACCCTAGAATTGTCCGCTTTAGGTGTGGCAAATGGGTCTTCGGGCCTAGTAGTATGGATGTTATTCACAGCGGGGAGCCACGATAGCTTTTTATGATTTGTGGGTGTGAGCTTCGGACGGCAGGCACCCTTGGTTTTCCGTTGGGCTGTCTGGCTGGTGGCTGTGTCTCTTGACGCTGCATGGTAGGAACAGCATAAGGCTTGTTAAGCCGACTGTCGGTGTTTTGAGTGACACATGCATGGCGTTCCATTCCATGCATGCACGAGAGAGCATGTGAAAACGGCAACCGTCACTGTATTACGCATCGTTCTCTCAATGAGCTATGGACATCGCTCGCATACTGGGGTTGCGTTTGACCGAAACGACCCACGGGTCACTGCAATGCGTAGGACCAAATGGCTACATTCCAAGGTGCCGCCAACATAGAAAGCCACCAGTGCATCCCGATTCTCAAACCTGGACTGGGCGTCACAGGGCGTGTGGTGTTGTGTGACTGGGTTCTAGGCATGGGAGCTGGTTTGCCGACTGTTATAGCGCATTGCGGCAATGAATTAAGGAACGCATGGCGTTACTCCGGGGTACCGGTACCGGGCAGGTGGACTTTCCGGCATTCGCTTTTACATCTTACCATAAGTAAGATACCACCAAAGTCCTGTATAAGCCTCAACAGCTACGCTACACGATCGCAGACTGTCCGTTTCTTCTGTCCACACAAGGTTCCACCCAGCTGGCCTGCTCCGAGGAGGTAACGCCCCCTCCATCAAAGGCCTGCCCGGGGCGGCCTCTCAGGCTCGCAGGTACACGGTTGGGTTGTACATGCTCTTAAAAGCGTTTGGCATACGCTATGATGCGCTGTGTTGCCTCCGTCTCTTGCCTTTACTTTACAGTCATTGTTCGTGTCACCAAATGCCGCCAAAGCATTCCGCCAGCAGCGAGGGGTCAGCTGCGGCTGCTTCTGCCAGCAAGAAGCAGGAGATCGGCGAAGCCAGTCGCCTGCCTCTGTCGATGCGCCTGCCGTTAGTGTCTCAGCACAGATGTCGCCTTGCTCTACACGGCCGGCGGTAGTAGCGCCGCGTAGTGTGCGTCCCGTTCGTTTGCTCACCAGGGAATGACGCTTGTTGCGAACACGTTGTCCGCCAATTCCGGTTCAGTGGACAGCTCGCGGCTGCCGCTGAGCAAATCGAGATTGTGTTTGCAGGCGACAAGGTCATGCCGCTGCTGAGTTATGCAAAGTCCTCAGGCCAGGTACACTGTGGCGGCGTAGAGGTGGTCGCCGCCTTTGGAGCTGTGAAACTCTTTGCTGACCCCGCCCTGGCTGCCCTTGTTCAAGCTGTGTGAGGACTGCTACTGTGCGGTGCGGGGAGCCAGGGCATCATCACGCTGGCGCAGACGTCTGTAGTGACGCGGCGCGGCATTCCCGCGGGAAGGCAAGCTGTTCGGTTTGTTCGTCAAGTGTAGTGTTATGTTCGGTGGGCGCGGATGCAGCGGCAGCTGCCGGTACACATACGCCGGCTTCTCTTCTGTCGTTTGTTGCCCCATGTGCCTTTCCTTACCTTGGCTCCTGCAACTTGCCTTGTACTTGCCTTGTGTCTTGTCCTTGTACTTCTCACACACGCCTCTTATGTTGTCTTAGTTGCCTTTCTACTTCTCACTCTTGCCTCTTGTTCCTGTGCTCACGGTGGTGGATTCCCCGTGGTCCGCAGTGCTCAACTTTCGCCCATCAACAGCCCATCAACAGTCAAAGTAACTACCAGCAGGTAGCGCTCTTCGTACCCCTGCACTCGGTCCTGGAGGGCGAGGTCCAGGATGGCATGGACTTCAAGGTTTCTGGCCAATAAATGAGGGGGCGTTCCCCAGCAGCAACAAGCGTGCTTGTCGCTGCTTGGGGGACAACGCGCTCTGGGTGGCGGGTTCAACTCCCGCAAGAGTGAAGTCTGCAACACTACCACGTTCTCAACCTCACGTGTGGCATTTACAATCACACATTGCATGTCAGGCACGACTACCTCCTCTACTAACCGGCACGGCACTGGCACACCACACAACCATCACTACAGCATTTCGCATACCGGCCGACAGGCTGCTTTTCATCTTCCTACACCACTATTCCTCGCCACCTGTGCGTCTTTATGGATGTCTATTGTGTAACCCTCAGTACCCCAGCAAGTGTCCCGTTCTCAGCGGTCAGCTGCATGGATCCATTGGCTCCGAGACCCTTACCAAACGCTGTAACCCAGTACCCAAAGACTCACGGTTGTGGCGCCATTGCTTCTCTTATTGGTACGTAAATGATACTGATTGCGCTATGGACCGACAAGCTTTCTGGTCGCTGAAGGATGCCTTCCATCAGCTCGGGGCCCGCGCAAAGCCGTTTTGGGACTCTTTACAACGTCACCAGCCACAGACGCTCTCTGGCTACCTGGTAATACCTGACTAGCGTCACTTACAAGCTTACTGCTGATACCGCAACTTAGCGGTTGGCCTTGCAAATGTTGCGCAGACTGCATTAGCAGCGGCTGGATTACTTACAGCCTCTTTACTGGTTACGACTAGCTTGGCTTTGGTGGCACTATGGTGCGCACTTGCCACGCTGTTGGGCCTGGCTTTGGTCTTTGGTAAGAAGCTCGGTTTCCTGTTTTTCCCAATTATCATAAGTGTTTACTTGCACAGTGTGTGTGTAGTTGACTTTACAGTCAGTTAATCAGCGGCTCAGCGCCTGTAACTTGGATGCCGTTCGCTTCTCTTGTCCCAGGCGTACTCTTCTGCACCTGGCTGTGTCTGACTGCCTGGATGGCCACAGTGGTTTCCGTGTTTGTCGGTTCCGTGGCTTGCGGTCTCTCAGGAACACGTTTGGCCCTGCGCGTAGTGAGAGCTGCAGCTCACCTTGTCGTACCCAGGTGAGCAACCCGGCTTCTCAAAGCGCAAAGGTTAAGTTCAAACACCGGTGCATGCTTGCTCAGTAGCTAGTTCGAGCTGAATATGCGCTTTCCACCGGCAGCTACGCTCCTGCCCATTCTCCCACCCACCCCATCGCAGTGTTTGGCGCACGTTCCAGTCCCAGCTGCTAGGTGCTCAGCCCGGGCTCAGCCCGGGCCAGGCCTCTGCTGCCACCACCTACCCTCAGCCCCCTGGAGTGCAGACATGCGAAGCTGTTGCTAGGGTATCACCGAGTCCGGATGCACACGCAGCCCATGCCCCCGGCGAGCAAGCGGCACCATTGGCTGCTGGCAGTTTAATGACAGGACAGGCGCACCCTTGCAACGAGCGCGCTACCTCAGGCAGCCGAGTTGCCGGTGGTGCCTGTACAAAGGCAGCAGACGTGGGGCTGGCGGCCATGCCGGTTGCGACAACACGCTGCAATGGCAGCAGCCCAGCCGTTGGGAGCGGCCCCCCTGCAGGGCCTACTGACACCTCTGCAGCAGCCCAGCAGCCAGTAGCAGCCGCACCGCTCCTCAGTCCGCACCACATGCAACCAGCAGGGATGCAGGTTGTGAAGGCCCAACTGGTGGAAAGCTGTTGAGCGTCCACACCTGCCTGGCCCAGGCGCTTCTAGCTCCAGGGGCTGTACTACATCGCATTTATTCTGTGGGCATGGGTAATGCCTCTAACCCGCAGTCTTCTCGCGTTTTCCTCGTATCTTGTGGTGTGCGGTTAACAGGTTGCAACTTGCCGCTCATCACGTGTGGGACAGGCATGAGGCATCAGCGCCCCCATACGTGGTGTAGAGGCGGGGCTCAGCGGTGAAACTCAGCAGGCATGGCAGAGGGGCGCGCGTAAGCTGCTGCGCATGGCAGGGAAAGCCCTCGTGACCCGCTAAAGATGGGCGGGATAGGCGCTCAGTCGACAGGCTAGTTAGCAGGCTTGGTGGGGAGCAGCAGGGCAGCCGGACGGTTGCATGCGCTTGGGATGCGCCTCTCTTCGCTCCCATCCCCCCAGTGCATGCAGCAGGCAAGTGACAATGAGTGGATCAGTGGGGGCCCTCCTACACACGCTTGCAGTCCAGGCTAGCCATTGCATCCGTAGGTCGGTTGTTAGCAATCTGCTTTGGGCTCGGTGGAAACGTTTACAGGAGAGGCACGCAATCCTGAGAACGAATAAGGACGGCCAATCAGGACTGACCGAGTAGAGCGTTAGCAAGGTGTGATTTGCACCGCATGCGTGAACTTTAGTTAGGCCCTGATAGTTAATCTAGCGGCATGAAGAGTTGACTAGGTCGGCAGCACGGCATGGCGTGTGTTTCCTCTATAAGGCGGCAGAGAGCTAAATCCCCAGGGATAAAGGGATGTCATGAACTGGTGCAGCGTCATTGTGTTTTTTTGGAGAGTTGCAGGGGTTTCGTGAGCAGACGGTTGCTTCTACGAGCGCAGTCGGGACAGTAATGCAGGCTGGCTTCTCCGTTCAATAGCATTGCCAGTCATAACGTGTAGGCGTAGGTAGTTTAGGTATGCCTCGACCGTGTCGATTAAGAAGCGCGCGCGGAGGAAATTGTGATCATTAGGCGGTGTACGGTAACCCAGTACGACACTCGTAGCGCTCCACAGAGCCAGTTGTTACTTACAAGCGAAGTAGCGTGTAGTGGCAGGTGTAAAGTAAATATTACCGGTAGCTGTACTGGACCTTGTGTGTCACGAGGTTTTGTCACGCGCATGCTTTGTCGCTGGGGAGCGATGGTGCCGCGCAAACCTGGCATGCCCCTTACGTTAGCGGGCATGGGGTGCCCGTGGAGCTAAGTAGCTTCATGCAACACGGCCGTCACAAGCCATGCTACAACAAGAAACGTGTTTCACGCGTTGACTGGTTGCTGAAGGAGAAGAAATCCGCAGCAAGGAATGTCGTGTTAGGCTTTACCCAAGCATTGTACCCTAGATCGTGTGGTCGTACTGCGTCCGAGTCTGGGTCCCGAACCCGGGCGATGTGGCCACGTCGCGCTACGTCCCCGTAGCTCGATTCCGAGAAAACGTATACGAAGTATGCGGTTTCGGAGGAGCGAAGCGAAGGGAAGCATAGACGGTCTCCGTGGTCACGCTCCAGGGAACGCAATATTCGTGCTCGTCCCGTCCATAGACCCAAGGGTCGGTAATCGCGATGTTAAGCAGCCCGCTATGCGCAGCAAACTAATATTCAGTATATTTAGGCTAAGAGCGAAGTCATATAGTAATAATGGAAAAAAGAGGAGAACCGATTAATCAAGAGAAGACATAATATGAATAAAGGTAGTCTCCAAGATTAGGGAGCAGAACGTGATCGAACGACGTTAAAGCAGGTTTTTAAAAGGCGCTAGATCCGTTGTCGCGGTTCAAGGAAATGTGGTTGTCCGTGCATGGAGACGCGATGTTGGCTAGCAGTCGTGTAGGATTTGGCTCGGTTGAGGAGGTATGCAGTAGCCGTCTTTGCTTGGGTTTCGGGAATAGCGGTGCCCGAACTTAATGCGGGTACCACGTCCTTGAACGGGTCACCTTTCAGTGTAGACGTAGATCACGTTGCTCTTCAAGACGGCAAGTAATCTCCCCATGCCTTTCCAATCCCCGCGCGGCGCCTGCTCCATCCTGTCATCGCACGTTCCTCGAGTAAAATGGCTGTTACCCGCGCTGGGCATGGATACTCCTGCCCTTCACCGTGCAATGTGTTCGTGTCCGTGCCCTTCACCGTGCAGTGCCTGTCTCGCGGCGTAAGTTCTTCCCAGTGCAGGATGCCCTTCCCCGCGCTGTACCTACCTGTCTCCCCGTGCCCTCCCCATGCGACTTGTCTTTACCCGCGCGGCGCGCGCTTGTGTCCCCTGCCCTTCCCCGGCGGCGGCTGCCTCCCAATGCCATAAACCATACAGCTGCCCTTCCCTGTGTGCGTGTTTCCCGTGCAGCGAAATTGCGGGCCTCATGCGGTCTGCCGTGGGCCTCGGTGCCATTCCATGTGCAGTGCCTGCCCCAAAATGCCCTCGGCTGTCCTTATCCGCGAGCCCCTGGCCCTTACATCCAATGCCTTCACTCCTGCATGCACATGTGTCAGCTTTCGGGCAGGGCGTGGCCGCTGGTCGCATGGCCGAGTGTAACTGAGTAGGGCGGGGTTTTATGCACGCACGCATTGGTGTCGGTACTCGGGCAGGACAGGGATGCATGCGTACATCACCGCGATAAACGGCGGGCACAATGGGTGTGCGTACCCGCATGGCAGCCGGTAGTCGGGCATGGTGAGTATGCATCCATGTATCGGTGCCAGTTTACGGGGCGGGGGGTTATGGATTCAGATTCGGAGTTGAGCGGATGCGCGGATGGGTGCGATGGATGGGAGAAGGGTGATCTTGCACGCACGGGGGCCTGTTCCTGGCAGAACGACTGGATGTCTGCATGCATGAGCGCCGAAAGCTAAGAGAGGCGGGGATGCATGTGCATGTGGGTGCCAGTAACTAGCAGGGCAGGGATGCCTACATGCATGGGCGGCATTCGTTGAGCAAGGCGATGGCTGCACGCGCGGGGAGCCATTACTTAGGTATTGTGGCGGTGCATGCCCCAGCGCATGAGCGTGTCATGCACACTGTTGGTAATCCAAGGAGGGAACCGGGTGAAAAGGCAGCTACATGATGAGGAACGTTGACATCGGGGTTGGGGGCTGGAAGCAGGGAAGGGAAGAACGGGCCCTGGAGACTGCAGAGGAGGACACAGACAGCAGATACGGTACGCATGGGGATCTGTCCTGTGCTTCTGTGGCCTGTTGTGTCGCTAGGCTTCGCACATCCAGGCTTTGAGGACGGGGTGTTGGCCTGTGCAGCAGCGGTGGCAATAGCGCTATCTTGCGCTAGCGGCGGGCGGATGGGGCCTCGGGCATCCGTCTCAGATCCGGAGGTCATGCCTGATCGCATGCACGCTTGATGTTGGCCAGTGCGGGGACTGCATGGGCGCGCCGGCCTTTGGGCGGGACTTGTGGGCGCCGGTGGTTCAGCAGCGCGAGTATGCCTGCACATGCAGGCGCTGGTAGTTGGACAGTGCGTGGAAGGATGCCTCCCTCTGCCCTAACCCGTGCGGCGCCCCTGCAGCTCACCTGCGTCGCCCCGTGCTTTGCTTGCCTTCCAATGCCCTTCCCCGTGCGTCTGCCCTTCCCCGTGCGGCCCTGCCTCTCCCCGTCATTGCCCGTTCCTTGAATTAACTGAACGGATGAGCCTGCCGCTACAATGGTGGTTTAATGGCGGCTGCCTACCCCTGTCCTTCCATGCCAGACGTCTGCCTGCCCTTGCCCTTCCCTTGTATTGACTGCCCCTCTCTGCCATCTTCTCTGTGCGGCCACCCTTCCCCGGGCAGCACCTGCCTCTCACTGCTCTTCCCCGTGTGGCACCGTGAGTGCGGCCTCCCTACCCTTCCTCGTAAAGTTTCTGCCTCCAAGTCCCCTCACGGGCTTCGGGTAGCTGACTTGCACAGGGGGTGTCTGCGTGCGCGCATTGGTGTTGGTACATGGCATGCATGCGTTCACCAGCGCGGTAGTTGGGCATGGTTAGTGTGCGTACAAGCATGGACGCCGGTACTTGGGCATGGCGGGTATGTATGCATGTATCGCATGGGCCGGGTGGGCATGCATTCAGGCGTCGGCGCGGCAGTGATGCTCGCGCTCATGGGAGCTGGTTCGTGGCAGGACGAGAGGATGTCTGCACGCTTGAGCACAGACAGCTGGAAGGGGAGGGTATGCATGCGCATGTGGGTGCCGGTAACTGGCACGGCATGTATGGCCATCACTCGGCTTTGCAGCATACACAGATGTTTCTAGCCATGAATTATCGCAGGCTTTTTTGTTGCCAAATAAGATGCTGTCACAATTGCTTTACTTGCTTGGGCTTCAGGAGTAGCGGAGCCCGAGCGTGTTGCGAGCGTGTAGGCCACATCCCGTCGTTAAGCGTTGAACAGGTCTTCACCTTTAGTGTGTACCTTTTCTTTGGCTTCCACAAGCCGTTTGTGCTTCCTACCCGTCTAGCAGCCTTGGCGACAATCGCTGCCATTCCTTTTGTGCTTTGAGCATCCTTCTGCATCCTCACGCCCTACATGCATGCGTGCAACCGCATCTCCACGACATCACCTCCCTCCCGCGAGCTACGGGCAGCTCCCGCCGAAGGCGGGCCTTACTAGTTTTTTTTCAGACTTTGGCATAGAGTACATCTGCGATGACCCATGGGTCATTTCCGAGCGCGCTCTTCTCCTAAGCACGCGGCTCAGCTCACGGAGTCACCCCGCAGCGTAAACCACACGAAAGCTACGAAAGCGCTAGCCTTTAATCCACTTATGTGAATAAAGAACAAACAATTGTTGTACTGGAAGGTCTGAGACACATCAAACAAACCTGAAAGGGAGACACCTGGGATGCAAGGAAAGTAACAAACACCACCCTTCCCAAATGGTTACTAGCACTTCTTTTGACAACACTGGTGAAACACGAATACAGGAAAGAGGCCAGCGGCCATCAGCCGCTACAACAGCTTTGGACCGTCATACGGCATGCTTTTTAAGTCGCAGGACTTCCTAACCGCCTTCCTAACAAACTGCAGTCCTCTCCAGCTCTAGATCTGTGCAAATCTATCTTTACACATTAGTGCTCTGCATATTAAAAGTGAGGTTTTTGCACAGGCCGCCGAGGCATGGCCAAGCGATAGCCAGCATGTTGGCTTTTCTGTCAAACGGGCTGCAATTTCACAGTCAGTGCTTAATGCTGCGGCAGCCCACAGAGTGTGAACGGAAGCTGGTCCGCGGGATCATCGGCGCTCAGGCTTCCTAGCATGGGCCGAGATGCCAGCGAAGACTGCCCACATCAGCAAGAACTCACGCCTGACGAACAATTCGGAGCTTGTCACGAGCTACTAGCGGATTCACGCAGTATTCTTCTTCAAGTCTTTGAGGTGCGGGGCAGGCAAGTGCACTGCTAGGCACCTTGCTGTTTGCCGTCATGGGAAGGCTGTGAGGCCCGGCGGGTCGGAGCCCAAGAACAGACTGAAACGAACAAAGTAAATGCATAGCTGTAAGGTATGCGTGGTTAGATGAGAATCCCATCGACCCAGCGGGCCTCGCAACGTTCCCAAGATGGTAAACAGCAAGGTGCCCGGCGGCCACCCTTGCCGCAACCAGAAAAATTACGAAAGCGGAAGCAAAAGAAGTGCTACGTTTGGGAACGCCCCTTAACCTTACGGCTTGCATGTGGGCGCGCATGTATGAAGGGTCTGCTAGTGCCGGCGCTTATCTGCATTATTGTGTGTTATGCAACCCTTCTGCTCTGTACATTCCTGCTCTATATGGCTAGGGAGGCGTGTCCTTCGCAAGGCCACAACACTGTAACACTGCAACGGTCATTCATTCATATGCCATCATGCGGCTTGCGACGGACGTTCCTGCCACAACACCTCACAGGCTTGCCCTGCCACAACCCCTCAACAGACCACGCCGGATCGTGTCCCCGCCTGCTGCAGGTGCCGAGCAGCATCTAGACAAAGATGATGTCAGGAGCACCCGCGGGCGTTTCAAAGCCCGCTGGTACGGCGCCGCTGCCGCCGCCTCTGTCGGAATCGCTCCCAGCACTGGACACGGCTCGGCCGCCGGAGTCACAGCAGCTGGAGCCGGCGGGTCCAGACGTCGCCGGCGCCACCACCAGTGGAGGCGGCAGTGCCTGGGGAGACGTCCCCGCAGCCCCCAGCGCTCTAGCCGGTGATGCCGCCAGCCTGGCTGGAGCCCAGTCAACGTTGGGACCCACGAGCGCAGCGGCGCCGGCCTCACCTGCACCTGGCGGCGGCGCCACTGGCCTTCCGGCGACTCCGCCGCCGCCGCCGCAGTTCGCCGAACCCCAAGCACGGCATGCTGTACATACGCCGCCGGCTGCGGTTGCATTGGCAGAACCGGGCGCACAGCAATCACCGCCGCTGCCGCCGTCGTCACCGGCCCCGAGCCAGCAGCTGGCGATGGAGGGGCAGTCGGGGTCACAGGCAGCGGCGTCGCAGCCGTCGTCACTTCAGCCGCCAACGCCGACGCCGACACCGCTGCAAGGGCCGCCCCAGCCGCCCCAGCAGCTCGAAATGCAAGGAGCGCTCGCAGGTCACATACACGGCGAAATGAGGCTGACGCTTGACGGAAACGTCATGGCCACGTTGACCACGGCAGCGCAGTCGCCCCAGCAGCAACCGCCGTCGCCTCCGCCGCCGCCGGCGCCTGTGCAAGCGGCTGCGACTGCGGCAAGTCCTCCTGCAACCTCCCAAGCTGCTGCTGCAGCCGCCGCTGCCAGCCGCAGCGACGCGTCTGCCGTACCAGCCGAGGCAGCCACGCCGCATGCACCACCGGGAACTGCAGCAGCGGCACCTGCAGGACAAACGGCCATGCAGTTGTATATCGTTGCGGGTGGCGGCGCTGCGCCAACTGTAAACCCTCCGTCGCCAGGCGTTACGTCGTCTCAACCCGGGATGGTTACTTTGCCAGCATCCATGCTGGCGGCTTTCGCACCTGGCAGTGCATTGCTACAGCCGGCAGGTGGGATGCGGCAGGCCGGAACTACTGCCCCCAGCGGCGTCCTACTGCCTCGTGCTACCGCTACGGCTGCTTCGCCTTCACCGTCGGCGGCGCCAGCGCTCCCGTCACTTGGTTCAGAGCCGACTATTCCGCAGTCGGCTTCAGTAAATATGCAGGCACCTGCGCCTGTGGCGCCGTCACCTGCGTCTGTAGCGCCATCACCGGCTCCGTCACCTGCTCCGTCGCCGTTGCCTGCTGGTCCCGCGGGTCTTGCGGCTCCACCACCGCTGGTAGTAGTGCCGCCCACCGCCGCCGCCATCGCTTTGCAGCAGGCGCAGCAGCAGCAACAATCGCAGCAGCAGCAGACCGCGGCCCTAGCCCAATGGCAGCAGTTGCTGGCGCTGCAACGAGAAGCGGCAAAGCAGGACCAGTTGGCGTCGAAGATGCTGCCGCAGCCGACGTCACAAGCGCAAGTCGCAGGGACGTCTATGCTGCCGGTGTTTGGATCCCTGACGGGCATGGCTGCACCCAGTCTCGCTTCACTTTCCCCATCCACCTCTTCGGCTCCAACGCTAACTCCCACATCGACCGTTGTCCTCCCTGCTACTGCGGGATCTACAGCTACCGCCATGCCAGCGGCTGCTACAGGCGCCGCCACGCCGTTCGTCCCTGCACGGGGGACCCTGACGGCCATACCTGCCTCCGCAGCCGCTGGAAGGACAACTACCGCCGCCGCCGCCGCCGCTGCTGGGCCTGCGCCGTCACGTGCGCCAGCTCAAGCTGCAAGTCCTCCCGTCGTACTGCTACAGCCAACCGGCACCGTTGGTCTGGCGGCGGCGCCTCCGCCAGCTGCTGCGATTCCCCATGGCGGCGGCTCAGGCGCTGCTGCTGCTGCTACAGCAGCACAGCGTAAGCCCACTCCCATGCCTTCCGCCAGCGCCTACCCAGCGCCCTCCGCAGCAGCCATGAGGCCGTTGTCGGGAGTTCCCGCGCCGATGCCGCCGACGCAGTCACCTCCGCCAGCGTCCATTACCCCGCCGGCGGCGCCTGCTGCTGCTGCGCCGCTAGCAGCAGGTAACCTCGCTTTCGCAGCGCCAACGCAGCCGCCGACGACGACGACGCTGGCGCACCTACGTCAGCCGTCGCCGTCGCCGCCACCCTCAGCTGCCGCTGTTCCACGTGTTGTGCTACAGTCCTCAGCCAACCAAGCGGCCGCCAAGAGCGGCGGCAGCGGCGGCGGCGGCGGCGGCCGTGGCAGCGGGAGCGGCGGGTCGCTGGGTGGCGGAGTGCCCGCGCAGTCAGCGGCGCCTCCGCAGGCTACCTCGGCCGCCGCCTCCGCCGGGGCTTCCGCCGCAGCACCAGCCGTGCCGTCCCCTCTTCCTGGAAATGTCAGCGGTGAGTTCGGTGCCGGGGCCGATCTGTTTGCGGCAGCGCCCCTGTCGTGAGCGCATGTGCACGGCTGTGAGCTGCAAGGGTGAATCTCAACAATCAATCTCACGACATGGTTGGAGCTGTTTGCGGCTATCCATGAAATCGCCTTGTGCATCCTTCCTAACTCGGCGAATGACATGATGTTGTGATCCGCTTGCTGTCTCTCCGCAGGCGCCTTCACTCCTTTCACGGGTGTCCTACGGAGCAAGCCCGCGGCCGCTGGCCTGCCAACCATGGGCCCATCCGTCCTCTCGCCCTCCCTTCCCCCCACCACGAGCCCTTCTGCGCTTCTCCTGTCCCCAGTTACTGCTGCCGCAAGTCCTTCTGTAGCGGCCTTTCCCGGCTTGCCTGCAGCTGCCCTCGCAGCCCCCAATACCGGCAGATCCGCCGCTGGACCTGTCACGGGGAGTGGTAGCGGCTCCGTCCATTTGGTGCCCCAGCAGCCTGGGCCACCGGGAAGCAGCCAACAACAACAACAACAGCTTCTTGCCTCGCTGCGCGCACCTCATGTGCTGCTGGCAACGCCTGGGGCTGCCGCTGTGACGCCAAGTACGGCAGGAGGTCAGAGATTGGGCGTGGGCGGTAGTGCAAGTGCAAGCGAGGTAAGGCGTAGCTAGGATGTGATTATTGCGAAAGCGTGTTTCAGGCTAGGCATACGGCCAATCTGGGGCTGCACTACTGTGCCACGAACCCTAAATGACTGGGGTTGTAAAAAAACTACCGGTAAATGACGGGGGTAAAGAGGAAACAACTAACTGAGGGATAAGGCCTCAAATAAATGACGGGAGGGGCGAGTACCCGGCGGTGGCCGAAACAATACCCAAGGAAAGGGTGATAACTATGTACCAAAGCACGGAACATCTGGAAGACTGCGCGGTGGCTCAGTGGTCTTGTCGAAAGGTCTGGCATCGCATCAAAGGTCAAGCTAGTCGAAGTTGACCTGACTGACAAGGTAAAATAAATACCAGAGCAGTTGTGTAGTGCTATTCGACTAGTTGAAACATCTACATGTTCGCCTTTCATATGCAATGTTGACGCGGTTGCTAGTTGCGACAGATTACGTCTATTTGGTCGTGGCCAACCGCGGGCACGAAGAGTGCTAGCTTGAATGTATGCGATCCAGGATAATTACCGGTATGCATGTACTCAAGTGCATGTTATGTTGTCTGAACCAGGACGCTTAGGCGATGTCGCTGAGACCTAATCCTACACGCACTTGGTGTGCAATTTGCTTCCAACCTGCTTGACAAGTCTACCTATCCATGCATGCCAGTGGAAAAGCCAAGGTGTATCTCCATATATAGCTTTTGCAGTGACAGTCCGCTCTCCATTCCCAAACTCCCAAACCCCTTCCCGACTCGCATCGGCACCGACAGCAGCTGCAAGCCAGCCAGCCGCAATCAACCGCAACCCAGGCTCAGCTGCATCTCCAACAGCTCCTGCTGCAGTACAAGCAAGCAACAGATGCCTTATCTGCAGCAGCCACCAGCGCCTTTGCCACCAGCCCTGTCTCCCCCGCTGGAGGTCCAACGGATGGCGGCGGCAGTGAGGTCGGCGCCCTTTCCGGCGCTACCGCGGCCTCACCCTTCTCAACCCGCACCGTGCCGGGCCTGCCGGCGCCATCAGCTGCACCTTCAGCTGCTGCACCAGCTCCCAGCAGCTCGGCACCCACAGCAGCTACGACGCTGCAAGCCATCCTGGCATCTTCCGGATACCCTTCGGCGGCAGCGTCGGCAGCGCCGCTCCTGCAGTTTGCGATGCCGTCCTTTGCGAGCACCACCACGAGTGCTGAGTACGGCGGCGGCAACGGCGGCGGCGGTGCCGGCCGTGGAAGCGCATTTGGGGCCAGCAGCGGCGGCGGTGCCAGCATCACCATTGGAGGTGGCGGTGGCGGTGGTGGAGGTGGATACATGAGTGGCGGCGGCATGAGCGCCGGCTTGGGCGGCGGTGGGGGCAGCGGTGCGACGACGGCGGCGGCTACAACCGGACCACGTAAGGTGCGATTGGCGGTGTGTGTGTGTGCGCAGTGGTGTGGATTGTGTGTACAGCACGAGGATTGGAGTGAGGCGTGGCAGCTATCGCAAGGGGGGTTGGTGGTATGGGCTCTAGACATGATGGTGGGGGGTGGTCTCAGAGCGCCTCGTGCCCTCCTCATCGCAAGCGCGTTGAGCATATGTTTGCGAGGGCTTGTGCAGCACGATGATGTCTGTTTACATCCCCACCGGCAATGTGTGCTTGCGCGCGCTCCCCCCGGGAACGGTGACACTGTTTCCCCGCGCATTGCATGACTCATGGTGGTGCAGGTCAAGGTGCTCCTGTCTTTCGGGGGTTGCTTCAGCTCCTGTCGCTCAACTGGTGGGTCGGAAATGGGTCGTTTTGGGGGGACAATCGGACGCAAAAAGTTTTCAACATTTTGGCTCATGGGACGAATCCTCGCATCAGGGCCGCATCTAGTGTGGGTCGGAAGGGGCATCCGCTTGAGTGGGCACCTAGCGTGGATTCCTTGTCCTCAGTCAATCTTGTAGCGGTCTACATGTTGTGCCGTACACCTTGCATGGTCGCGTTACGCACGTCTTGTGCCGTACACCTCGCACGGCCAGGGCACTGGGACTACACGGGCGGGGAGACGCGGCTTGTGGCGGTGGAACAGAGCCCCGAGTTTGCCGCCTTCAGGTGAGGTGGTGCGGGTGCGATCCGTTTGAAGTCGTGAGGGGATGTAGGTAGGGTGCAAACGGGGTTGACGTCTTGAAGAAATACTTGAGTTAGTTTGGCGCATGCTATCATGAATACACGATCCCTTCTCTCCGCGCTCTTTCCCTCGTTGCCTTATCCGCCGTTCCGGTTTTTTTTACTGACAGGGACAGCGCCTTCGCTTGCTGCAAGGGGCGCGTACGGTCTCCAGACGAGGTACGATAGCCCAGGTGCTTTGCTTGCATGCGGGACGCGTGGAGTACGCATTCTTGAGGACAGCCGGGTGCTGATGCGCGCAGAAGTGGGGCCACAGTCCTGATCCCCCTTCCTTCGCCTTAACCTCCCTACCCTGTTTTACCTCTCGTTAAGGCGCGGAGGCTTCACATGTTTTACCGTTTCACCGGGGTTTCACCGCCCTTTATCGCTTCTTTTCGCGCGCTTCTTTGCCTCCCAGGCCTCTCTGCGCTACGAGCTGCCGAGCTGCCCGGGAACCCTGGTGGACCTCCGTACAGACGCTGACGTGATCAACATGTGGGAGGAGCTGCAGGATTTCACAACGGTATGTGTACGGCATGCGCACATTGGCGCGATTTGCCAGGTGCACTACTCAGGTTTACAATCGTTACAAGCAGTACGATCATAAGGAAACGTAAGGACCCTCATGGTCGCCGCATCTGCGGCTTTCGGCTCTCGGCTGTAACAACTGGACCGCATGCGCACTTCCCGTGACGTGAACACATGGCATGCCGTTTTCCCTCCCTTCGTACGACAGGCCGCTGGAAAGCCGTCGTACAAGCTGCACCTCTACGTGGACCACCACATGCTTCCCTCGGACGAGGGCAGTGGTGCATCACAACACACGGAGAGCCCCGTTGGCGCCGTCGGCGGCGGCAGTGCCGGTAGCGGCGCTGGCGGAGGCGCGGGCAGCACCCCCGGCGGCGGTGCCAGCGGCGGCGCCACCGACGACGCAAAGGTGCGCAACCAAGGGCCGTTACTGACGTCAGGTGGGCAGCAACCGCCAGGTGCTGACGTCAGCGGCCAGCCGGCGGCGGCGGCGGCGGTGCCGTCACGGCCGGCGGCAACGACGACAGCTTCCGGTGTGGGCGCTGCTGTCGGCGGTCGTACGTCTGGCGGCGGGGGAGCTGTCAGCGGCGGTTATGGGTACGGCCGTGGCGGCAGTGGCGGCGGCAGCAGCAGCTGGCTGTCGGGGTCGAGCACCATCACACTCGACTTGACAGGTGAACTGCGTTGAGTGGTGTGCTTTGCTTGCAATGCGTTGCTTTGCCTGGTTTGGCAAGCTATGTGAACGTTGTGAAAAGTGCACTGACACATCCGCTCAATCTGTGACAGCATGAGGCCATGCAGCCCCCTGTAACCCCCTGCCAACACGCCCGGGCTCGGTCATTCTTGACATTCCTACTCGCTCGCTGCGCTTGCCCACAGCACCGGCGGCGATGCCCTCCCTCCCGCGGAGCGTGGTTTTGGAGCAGCTGAGCGGGCGAGTGGAGGTGCGTGTCGCACGCCGACATGCTCCATGCTTACTTGCCTTGTGAAGCGTGTCACCATACTTCACCACCGAACTCATCACGAGCGCACAGGATGGGCACATGTACCGCACGTACGACGCCAACTTGCATGGGCATGGGATGGGGGCTTCTGGGGTCTTAACTTGGCAATTCCAGTTGCATCCAAACCTGCTTACGGTGCCATATGTACGGTTACAAACCAGGTTGTGCGGCCGTCAGAGCTGACTATCGTGCGTTTCCTGGGGTCGGGCGGCAACGGAGACGTCTTCCAGGCCAGGTGGCATGGCACGGATGTGTCTGTCAAGTGCCTGCACACGTCTCCTGGAGCCGACGAGGTGGGTGCGTGCGCACGGGGCCACCGCTGCTGCTGCCTGGATGCCTGGGTTTGTCCGGACATGTGAAAGTCCTTGCGCACTTTGTTTTGCTAAACATGGAATGTAATAAGCTAAAGTCTGCTCGGGTATGCTATGGTCTGCTCGGGTATGCGAAGTCCCTAAGATACTGACGGAAGAAAGCAAAGCGTACCCGCGTTTCGCATGTTTGCGTCTTTGCTCCAACTAATAAACACTGGCGGGCCTTACAACACCTCCATTTGTCCCACCTCTCCTGCCAGGTCGCCGTTCTGGACGAGCTCCTCGCGCAGTCGCGTCTGCTATGTCGGCTGCGGCACCCAAACATCGCCTGCCTCTATGCACTTGTCATTCCCGACCACCTCATCGCTCTATGCAACGGAGTGGCGCCGCCAGCCGCAGCACCAGCCGCTGCACTGCCACCAACAGCGGCGGCGGATCCCCGGTCTGCTCCCCCGGCGACCAGCACCGCCGCTGCAGCCATGACAGCAACCGCCCCAACCGACGGCAACCCGGTCGAACAAACCTCCGCATCTCCGCCACCATCGCCGTCTTCCGTACCCTCCACCATCCTGATCAGCGAGTACGACAAAAGCAGCGGGTGTCACGACGGCGCGTCATGGAACGGCAGCCGTACGGTGAGCGCCGCGCACAGCGTGGGCCTCAGCCGGGCCAGTACGCATGCTGGCGTCGGGGGCGGCAGCATGGGCAGCAACAGCAATAGCAACAGCAGCGGCGGCAATGGCGCGGTTCCGGCGCCGCCATCGCCGTCACGAGGGTATCCGGCAGCGCTCGAGCCAGCTAACAACCCAAACGTTGCTGCTGCTGCTGCTGGTGGTGTTGTTCCCGTTGCGGGCGAGTCAACAGCGTCGGCGCCAACCGTTCGCGACGACCTTACGGCTGGTGGCGGTGGCGTCCAGCCGCCACAACAGCCAGCGCAATCCGCATTTGCGGGGTTTGCCGGTCTGGGAGGCACGCCTTTCTTGTCTGCGTTCGGCGGTGGCTTCCGGGACGAGAATGGCGAGGGCGGGTTCGGTACAGGCAGCACTCCCGGCACGGGTTGGGCTGCTGCTGCTGCTGGCGGTGCTGCTGCTGCTGCTGGTGGTGCTAGCGGTGATCCGGAGAGCCCTGGCGGCTCTGGTGGCGGCAGTGGCGAGGAGGTCCACGGTGGCGACAATCACGGCGGCCAAGGGGAAGAGGAAGAGGCGGCGCCTGCACCGTCGCTCCTGTTCCATGGTCTGCAGCGCAGCGGGCGACTGCCCTCCATAAAGGAGCTTCCGTCGCTAGGTGTGTGAGGGAGGAAGGCGGGCTTAGGATGGGCCGTTAGGATTAGCGTTAGGATGGCCCTTTAGGGAGGGGCCAGCTGCAAACAGCACTGAGAGGCGGGGTATTCTGTGGTGTAACGGCTGGCATGCGGCTCCGAATAGCAACGGCAAATGAGTGGCCGCCTACCGTTGTCTTGCCTGGTCTGCCGCCTCATCAAAAAGAGGATGCCACCTTGTCGCAATGTCCTATAAACCGCTCCGCAACAACGTTTGCTTGTCACCCTTGTGCCCTCGCAGGTGGGTCCACGGATGAAGAGGCGCAGGCGCATAGCAGCAGCTTCGGCGTCGGCGGCAGCGGCGGCGGCAGTGCCGGCGGTGACAGTGTCGGCGGCGGAAGCACCCCTAGCACGCCTGGCCGGAGCCCCAGAGGAGCCTTTCACCCGCCACCGCAGTCCCACCAACACGCGACGGGCTTGTCGGTGCGGTTCTCCCTGCCCTTCGAGAGCGTCAAATCCGAGGGCGAAGAAGAAGTCGATGACGAGGAAGACGTCGGTCGAGGCAGCGACCCACGGGTCGGTGCGGTAGTGGAGGAGGCCCAGGAGGCTGGGGTGATGGCTGGCGACGGATCTGACAGTAACGATGCAGGTAGTTTTGGAAGCGGCGGCAATGCCGCAGGCGAGAAGGAGGATCAAGAAGTGGAAGGCAGCCATGACCATGCGGCCACTGCTGCCGGGACGGCGAGTCCCTGGCGGGCCCTATTGGCGGCAGTGATGGCAGCGGGGACTGGCGATAACGGCAGAGGCGCTGACGCTGGTGAAGACCGTACCGCCGTACAGTTGCAGTACGACAGTGAGCTGTCAGATTCAGGGGAGGAGTACGAGCGTTACGACAGCGCGGTGGGCTTCTTCATGCCAAGTAATGGTGGCGGTGGTGGTGGTGGTGCTGGCAACGGCGGCGGCAACAGGAGAAGGCGGCGGCGGCGGGGCAGTGTCGCGCTGTATGGAAGCGGCGGCGGCGGAGGCGGCGGAGGCGACAGCAGCGGACACGGCTCAGACACGGATGACTCGGATATCTTGTACGTCACGGCGCATGGGGATCTGGGTGACACGCTGTTTCATACTGCGCGGGCGTCAATCACGACAGAGGTACGAAGCTATTAGCTAGAACCTTTTGTCTGTGCTGCTGCCCGGGTGTACCTTCAAGCGAACATTCATGTACCTCCCAAGTGTGAACGATTTAACAACTGCATGTGGAATACCTAGTCACTGTTTTCTGTGCTAGGTAATGGGCTTTGTGATGGCTACAGATAGGCCCTGTCTTGCACCCCATTGCATACGCGCAGGAGTACCTGTCAATGAGCGGCTTCCGAGGCGCTGCCGGCGGCGCCGCGCCCCTCGGCAGCGGCGCAGCTGTCACCCCCGGACATTCCGCCACCCGAGACGACGTCACGGCGTCGCCGTACCAGCAGCAGCAGCAGCAACCAGCGGCGGCGGCGGTACACAACGGAGCATTGGGACGCCCATCATCCAGCTCACCCTCATCCTCCTCCCCGTCCTTCTCAACCTATGCTCGAGGTGGCGGCGGCGGAGCGGGAGGGAGCGTGACGGCCCGCAGCACTGGCGGCGGCGGCGGCACTACGACCGGCGGCACCTCCGGCAAGGCGACAACGCCATCGGCATCAGCACGATCGCCCTCGCCGTCAGCACCGGCACCGGCAGGGCAGATGGGAATCCGGCCGCAGGTGGCGGCTGATGCTCCCGCAGGACCCACAAACAGCGGCAGCGATGACGTTAATCCCTCCCAAGGTGTTGCGCGCCTTTCGCCAAGAGGTCAACAGCTGCCTGCTCCTGCTGTAGCAGATGTTGAAGATGTTGCCCCAAGGCACCTCTCACAGGCCCGAGCATCCTCCCATGTGCCGCCGCGGGCACACGTACCGGAACCCCCTCCGGCGGAGTCTGACGCTCCGGCCGTCCTAGCAGCGCCGGCGCCAACGCAGCAGCAGGCGCCCTCTTGGACGTCGCCCTTCGCGCCCCTCAGCCAACGCCAACTCACCATGCGAGCCGCATCCCTAGAGAGCCAGCTCTCCATGTTACCCCCGCAGCTTCAGCCGCCGCCGCCCTCAGCGGTACCGCAGCCGGCGGCGGGGGCGGGGGCGGGGGCTGCAGGAAACGCCTCCGGTGCCGCAGCTGTGCCGCCGGCTGCGACACGCGGCGCTTCCGACGGCGCCGTCACGGCAATGGGTGCCACAGGCAACGCGTTCGGCGGCATTCCGGAGTTGCCCGTCGCGTCGCCGCGCCGTCAGCGTCAGAGCCCGGCTGGTGACGGTGCTGGCGGCGGCGGCGGTGATGATGATGCCGTACGACCGGCCGGAGATGTAGCCAACGATGGTGCTGCTGTACAGCCGCTCCCGCTCTCAGTAGCCCAACTGCGGGATCAACCACCACCGTCTGGGTTCCCGCACCACGAGCCGGCAGCCCCGCAAGGCGGCGCGTCGCATGAGCCCGTTGCCCCGCCGGCGGCACCGCCCCCGCCGCCGCCCCCGCCTCCGCTGTCCCGGCGCTCTAGCTCCGCGCTGTTGCGTTCAGCGTCCGGCGCGCTGATGCGGCGGCTGGGGCAGCAGCTGGCGGCGGCGCCGAGCGGCGTGGGCAGCCTGAGCGGTACGACGGGTGGCACGGAGGCGGCAGAGCATGAGAACAGCAGGTGAGGGTGAGGGTGAGGTTGAGGGTGACCGGGATTGGGAGCGGGGGGGATGCGGATGCGGGTGGCGGCACGCTCGACAGGCAGGCGAGTGGAGAGGCGGTTGTACTGCTGCACGGATTTGATACAGCAGTTCGTACCGATGTTTCTGCCGTCTGCTGCGCGATGTACTGTCCGTCCTGTTTAGGTCACCGATATGTTGTTAAGCCCTAAGCTCGCTGCATGTCTTCGCAGGCTGATCGCCTGCCACGCCATACCCGGGCCGGCCCTAATGTCCGAGTACCTATCGGGGAACTCCATTCGCTCGGCGCTGCGTCGGCGCTCCGATGTGGTGAGTACCCGGTAGCCTGAGCGTGAGGGCGGGGGCAGGGGTGAGATCCGCATGCGCAAGGTGGAGAGACGGGAACAAACCTCAGGCAATTAAGGCGAAATTTACATTTCCGCTTTGTTTCACGCGAGGCCTCAACCCCCTGCCAGGTGAAGTCGGCTCTGGCGCGCATCAAGGTTGCCTTGGACGCGGCTCAGGTATGGCGTTGTATGGAGTTTTGGATGTGGGGTTTTGGATGTGGGATATAACCTCGTGAGCGCGGCGGCCGCATCGGTATCCTCTTGACGCTTACCATGCTTTGCTACGCTTGTTCGGTTGGTGGTAGGTTGGTGTTAAACAGAGGACGCAGGCGAGTATAGGCACCGGCGCGCCTTACTGAAACCCTGCACAACCCCTCCGCTGTCATCCATACACAGGGCATGGAGTACCTTCACTCGCGCGGCGTAGTGCATTTGAACCTCAAGACCGGGAACCTGTTGGTGGGGTATGCGGAGAAGCAGCCCGCATGCAAGGTAGGGCACGGAACTGGGAACACCTGGTTGCCGTTTGCAATGAAGAAGGCGAACCGTCGCCGCCCGGGCCCGCCCGTTGACGCCATTGTTCGTACTTGCCATACTGGCGGGTTGCATCGTCGCCTGTCCCCGCTGTCTAGTTACCTGCTGATGTCGCATGCCCCCCGCCCCCGCCAGCATCACAGCTTGAGATCAAACCTAGCCTTGCACCTAACCGCACCTGTTACAACAACAGGTTTGCGACTTCGGTCTTCGACGTCCAACGCTTCTAGCGGCCACTGCACGTCCGGGCGGCCCCCCCAGCAGCGGCAGCGGCGGGATAGACAGCGCACTGCTGGCTCGAAGCCTTCCCTGGACTGCCCCTGAGGTGCTGCGATCCCCTCAGGCGGTTACAGAGAAGGTATGAGTACCGGCACCGGTGAGGTCCCAGCGTGCCTACAATGAGGTGTTTTTGGGGCGGCTTGGACGGGTGGCTTTCGGTGGCGAGGTCGAAGGCTGACGTCTGCGGTCGAGCGAGAGTTACTGTTATCCTGTTATCCTGCGGTCTAAATTTCAGGTTGGCGTCCATGCCTGATACCGCCCATCTTATTACCGCCCATTTGTACTGCAGGCCGACGTGTACTCGTACGGCATGATCATGTGGAGCCTGTGGACACGAGCGGAGCCGTGGGCTGGGGCCGACATGCGGCTGCTGCTGAGCCGGGTGATGTCGGGAGCCGAGCCGCGACCGCCGGTGCCGGGTGGGTTCTAACAGGCATGGCGCGTATACGTGCATTACGGTAAAATATCCGCATACGTGCTGGGTGTGTTAGTTTCGTGTTCCCGTATTCATTTCCGACGTGGAATGTGGTTGATGAGTTGGTTGGTTCCTGGGTGATGAGCGACATGCCGGGGTGTTGGGCGCACAGTCCAGCAGCGGGCGCCCTCCTTTCCTCAGCTGGTGCCCTGCATGGCGGGTTTCTTCCTCCATCCACGCTCCTCATGCGATGAAGGTCTTCATCCAGAGCCCAGACAACATCCATCTCCGCCCCGCCGTCAACACAACACCATGGCTGCCGTACCGCACCGTGCCGTACCAACAACTTCCTGACCTGCCTGCCTGCCTGCCTGTCGGGTCACCAGGTGCGCCCGACTGGCCCCCTTCGGAGCCCTGTCCGCCCGAGCCCGCCCCCGGCTGGTCGGCCCTGATGACTCGCTGCTGGTCCGCCGACCCGGCCAGCCGCCCGGGCTTCACGGAGGTGCTGCAGCGCATGCGGGTGAGGGAGCAGGCGGGGGGGGTGAGGGGCGGGTGAGGGAGCAGGCGGGGGGGGGGTGAGGGGCGGGTGAGGGAGCAGGCGGGGGGGGGTGAGGGGCGGGTGAGGGAGCAGGCGGGGGGGGGTGAGGGGCGGGTGAGGGAGCAGGCGGGGGGGGGTGAGGGGCGGGTGAGGGAGCAGGCGGGGGGGGGGTGAGGGGCGGGTGAGGGAGCAGGCGGGGGCAGGGGTGAGGGGCGGGTGAGGGAGCAGGCGGGGGCAGGGGGGAGGGGCGGGTGAGGGAGCAGGCGGGGGGGGGTGAGGGGCGGGTGAGGGAGCAGGCGGGGGGGGTGAGGGGCGGGTGAGGGAGCAGGCGGGGGGGGATGAGGGGCGGGTGAGGGAGCAGGCGGGGGGGGGGGCGGGTGAGGGAGCAGGCGGGGGAGCAGGCGGGGGGGGGCGAGGGAGCAGGCGGGGTAGCAGGCGGGGGGGGGGGGGTAAGGGGCGGGGGGGGGAGCAGGCGGGGGGGTGAGGGGCGGGTGGGGGAGCAGGCGGGGTGGGGGAGAGGCGGGTGAGGGAGCAGGCGGGGGGGGTGAGGGGCGGGTGAGGGAGCAGGCGGGGGGGGATGAGGGGCGGGTGAGGGAGCAGGCGGGGGGGGGGGGGCGGGTGAGGTAGCAGCCGGGGGGGGTGAGGGGCGGGTGAGGGAGCAAGCGGGGGGGGATGAGGGGCGGGTGAGGGAGCAGGCGGGGGGGGGGTGAGGGGCGGGTGAGGGAGCAGGCGGGGGGGGTGAGGGGCGGGGGGGGGAGCAGGCGGGTGGGGGGGGGGCGGGTGGGGGAGCAGGCGGGGGGGGGTGAGCGGCGGGTGAGGGAGCAGGCTGGGGGGGGGGTGAGGGGCGGGTGGGGGAGCAGGCGGGGGGGGTCGAGGGGCGGGTGAGGGAGCAGGCGGGGGGGGTGAGGGGCGGGTGAGGGAGCAGGCGGGGGGGGTGAGGGGCGGGTGAGGGAGCAGGCGGGGGGGGATGAGGGGCGGGTGAGGGAGCAGGCGGGGGGGGTGAGGGGCGGGTGAGGGAGCAGGCGGGGGGGGTGAGGGGCGGGTGAGGGAGCAGGCGGGGGGGGATGAGTGGCGGGTGAGGGAGCAGGCGGGGGGGGTGAGGGGCGGGTGAGGGAGCAGGCGGGGGGGGGGGGTGAGGGAGCAGGCGGGGGGGGTGAGGGGCGGGTGAGGGAGCAGGCGGGGGGGGATGAGGGGCGGGTGGGGGAGCAGGCGGGTGGGGGTGAGGGGCGGGTGAGGGAGCAGGCGGGGGGGGGTGAGGGGCGGGTGAGGAAGCAAGCGGGGGGGGTGAGGGGCGGGTGAGGGAGCAGGCGGGGGGGTGAGGGGCGGGTGAGGGAGCGGGCGGGTGAGGGAGCAGGCGGGGGGGGTGAGGGGCGGGTGAGGGAGCAGGCGGGGGGGGATGAGGGGCGGGTGAGGGAGCAGGCGGGGGGGGGGGCGGGTGAGGGAGCAGGCGGGGGGGGTGAGGGGCGGGTGAGGGAGCAAGCGGGGGGGGATGAGGGGCGGGTGGGGGAGCAGGCGGGGGGGGGGGGCGGGTGAGGGAGCAGGCGGGGGGGGTGAGGGGCGGGTGAGGGAGCAAGCGGGGGGGGATGAGGGGCGGGTGAGGGAGCAGGCGGGGGGGGGGTGAGGGGCGGGTGAGGGAGCAGGCGGGGGGGGTGAGGGGCGGGTGAGGGAGCAGGCGGGGGGGGGGGGTGAGCGGCGGGTGAGGGAGCAGGCTGGGGGGGGGTGAGGGGCGGGTGGGGGAGCAGGCGGGGGGGGTCGAGGGGCGGGTGAGGGAGCAGGCGGGGGGGGGTGAGGGGCGGGTGAGGGAGCAGGCGGGGGGGGTGAGGGGCGGGTGAGGGAGCAGGCGGGGGGGGATGAGGGGCGGGTGGGGGAGCAGGCGGGGGGGGGTGAGGGGCGGGTGAGGGAGCAGGCGGGGGGGGGTGAGGGGCGGGTGAGGAAGCAAGCGGGGGGGGTGAGGGGCGGGTGAGGGAGCAGGCGGGGGGGTGAGGGGCGGGTGAGGGAGCGGGCGGGGTGAGGGAGCAGGCGGGGGGGGTGAGGGGCGGGTGGAGGGAGCAGGCGGGGGGGGATGAGGGCGGGTGAGGGAGCAGGCGGGGGGGGGGCGGGTGAGGGAGCAGGCGGGGGGGGTGAGGGGCGGGGTGAGGGAGCAAGCGGGGGGGGATGAGGGGCGGGGGGGGGAGCAGGCGGGGGGGGGGGCGGGGGGGGGGGGGGGGGGGGGGGGGGGGGGGGGGGGGGGGGGGGGAGGGGGGGGGGGGGGGGGGGGGGTGGGGGCGGGGGGGGGGGGGGGGGGGGTGGGTGGGGGGGGGGGGGGGGGGTGGGGCGGGGGGGGGGGGGGGGTGGGGGGGGGGGGGGGGGGCGGGCGGGTGAGGGCGGGGGGGTGAGGGGGGAGCTGGGGGGGGGCGGGTGAGGGGGGGGGGGGCGGGTGGGGGGGGCGGGGGGGGGGGGGGGGGGGGAGGCGTGGGGGGGGGGGGGGGGGGTGGGGGGGGGGGGGGGGCGGGTGAGGGGGGGGGAGGGGCGGGGGGGGCGCGCGGGGGGGGGGGGGGGGGGGGGGGGAGGGGGGGGGGTGGCGGGTGAGGGAGCAGGGGGGGGGGTGAGGGGCGGGTGAGGGAGCAAGGGGGGGGATGAGGGGCGGGTGAGGGAGCAGGGGGGGGGGTGAGGGGCGGGTGGGGAGGCAGCGGGGGGGGTGAGGGGGGGTGAGGAGCAGGCGGGGGGGGGGTGAGGGGCGGGTGAGGGAGCAGGCGGGGTGGGATGAGGGGGAGGGGGGGAGCAGGCGGGGGGGGATGAGGGGCGGGTGAGGGAGCAGGCGGGGGGGGTGAGGGGCGGGTGAGGGAGCAGGCGGGGGGGGAGAGGGGCGGGTGAGGGAGCGGCGGGGGGGGGGGCGGGTGAGGGAGCAGGCGGGGGGGGTGAGGGGCGGGTGAGGGAGCAAGCGGGGGGGGATGAGGGGCGGGTGAGGGAGCAGGCGGGGGGGGGGTGAGTGGCGGGTGAGGGAGCAGGCGGGGGGGGTGAGGGGCGGGTGAGGGAGCAGGCGGGGGGGGGGGGTGAGGGAGCAGGCGGGGGGGGTGAAGGGCGGGTGAGGGAGCAGGCGGGGGGGGTGAGGGAGCAGGCGGGGTAGCAGGCGGGGGGGGGGGTAAGGGGCGGGGGGGGGTAGCAGGCGGGGGGGTGAGGGGCGGGTGGGGGAGCAGGCGGGGGGGGTGAGGGAGCAGGCGGGGTAGCAGGCGGGGGGGGGTAAGGGGCGGGGGGGGGAGCAGGCGGGGGGGGATGAGGGGCGGGTGGGGGAGCAGGCGGGGGGGGGAGAGGCGGGTGAGGGAGCAGGCGGGGGGGGTGAGGGGCGGGTGAGGGAGCAGGCGGGGGGGGATGAGGGGCGGGTGAGGGAGCAGGCGGGGGGGGGCGGGTGAGGGAGCAGGCGGGGGGGATGAGGGGCGGGTGAGGGAGCAGGCGGGGGGGGTGAGGGGCGGGTGAGGGAGCAGGCCGGGGGGGTGAGGGGCGGGTGAGGGAGCAGGCGGGGGGGGGGTGAGGGGCGGGTGAGGGAGCAGGCGGGGGGGAAAAAAGAAATTCCAAAGTGTGGGATGGGGGGCGTGTGAGAGCATGCGTGGAGGGGGATGAAGATTCCGCATGAGGCTGGAGGGGGAGAGGGAGGGGCGGGAGGGAGAAGGCGGGTGAGGGGCGGGAATAGGCAGGGAGGAGAGGGTAGGAGAGGTGAGGAGGGAGGGGTGGATGGGAGCAGGCGGGTAAGGGAATGTGTGATTGTTAGTCTCCTGGGAAACTAGTTTTAGCCATGTGGTTCGGAAGCAGGCACCGAATACATGATGTATGAGCAGCCCCTACCTTCAAGACTTCGTGTATCTCCGCACCGCTGTTGACTACCGGTGTCGTCTTTGCTGACCCAACGTCCACATTGGGTGCATTAGCTAAGGACCTTTCCAATACCGCGCATGCATGCGTCATGCGCTCATGTGCTGCACAGGCGATGTTTACGGAAGTCAAGAGCCAGAGGCGAGCCGTGAGAGCAACGGCGGCGATGGCGGCAACTGCAGGGCAAGAGGGCGCTGGTGGCGATGGCGGTGATGGGGCCTGATTGGTGGAGGCGGCAGCCGCAGCAGGGGCACCTGTTTGGGAGTGCCGGTTGCCTTCCTCGGGAATGGCAGCACATGATGATTGGGGCGGCAGGCAGCAGGGGGGCCGCAGCAGGGGGGCCGCGCTTGGGCCGCAGCAGGGGGGCCGCTTGCGTTCATCGGGAATGGTATGCTTGCAGGGCGCCTCATTTCAGGGTGGTGATGGGCGGGTTTGAAACATACACCTAGTCCTGAAGGCCCTGAAGGTTTCCTGTTGAAAGCTGCAGTAGAATATGCTGTGGCAATTAGGAGCAGTTCATTCGGGGTAGCTCTTAATGTTTTGTGCGCCTGTGTAACTTCGAATAGTGTGTTTTGGGACGAAAAGAGAAAAACATATGGAGGTAACCAACGAAGGGAAGTTGGACCATCACCGAAAAGGATTCTGCATACTTGTGACGGGGCCAAAACGCGTTTGCGCGGCAGAGCCACAATTGTTGAGTTGCAGTAGTCCTGGTATCCAAGGATCTGAGGAGGCGGACGGAGGTGTGGCCTGCCTAGGTGACCTGTTTCTGTGGACTTCATGAACCACGGTGAAACCAGCCTTTAGGTGTAGATTGATTTACCTCTGGATCTTATCCTGTACCTCCAAAGTATCTGCCTTGCAGCGGGTTGGCTGCCCTTGTGCTGTTTGGGCGGGGGGGTTTGTGGCCGATGGTCGGCCTTGCCGGACTTGGTTGGCTCGCCCCGCCGATTAGGGGCGTAGTCTTAGCGTTCACTCAAAATAGTCCGAGCCGAGGCGTTATGTCCTTTTTGTACCGTGTGCATGTCCTATGTGTACCCTTGTACAGTTTGTATGTACCTGCACCGAGGTCTCAGATTCGGTCGGACACGGTGGCGTAGTAATTGGTGTTGTGTTTTGAATACAACGGCATGTCGGAAAAAGTAAGAGGCTCGTATGTATGTATGTGTTACAAGCTTCGTACCGAGCTCGTAAGATCCGTCCGAGCCAGAAGGCTCATGGATCGCGAGCACAAAACGCGAAAACAACCAAAAGAAGAAAAGTAAACAAAAAAGACAACAAACAGAACGCTAATCATATGATAAACCCTGTCTGCGCAATCTTGCGACCAATCCAACGAACCAAACCCAAACCTCAATCGCCGATCCAACCCCAATCTAGCCCAACATCATTGCTGAAGTTGTGCGACCAGGTGCTGTTAGCCGGAGAGAGGCTGTGCATTGGCATACAATAGGCATCATCTTGACGCAAAAGGTGGGACAACCTACCCCTCCTTGCTAACAGGCTGTTTGACTGTGTTTCTATGGCGCGTGATAACTGGACGCACTGCGCTCGTCTTTTTATGGCGGTGGGGGGTGAGGGGCGGGTGAGGGAGCAGGCGGGGGGGATGAGGGGCGGGTGAGGGAGCAGGCGGGGGGGGGGGGCGGGTGAGGGAGCAGGCGGGGGGGGTGAGGGGCGGGTGAGGGAGCAAGCGGGGGGGGATGAGGGGCGGGTGAGGGAGCAGGCGGGGGGGGTCGAGGGGCGGGTGAGGGAGCAGGCGGGGGGGTGAGGGAGCAGGCGGGGGGGGATGAGGGGCGGGTGAGGGAGCAGGCGGGGGGGGTGAGGGGCGGGTGAGGGAGCAGGCGGGGGGGGTGAGGGGCGGGTGAGGGAGCAGGCGGGGGGGGGTGAGGGGCGGGTGAGGGAGCAGGCGGGGGGGAAAAAAGAAATTCCAAAGTGTGGGATGGGGGGCGTGTGAGAGCATGCGTGGAGGGGGATGAAGATTCCGCATGAGGCTGGAGGGGGAGAGGGAGGGGCGGGAGGGAGAAGGCGGGTGAGGGGCGGGAATAGGCAGGGAGGAGAGGGTAGGAGAGGTGAGGAGGGAGGGGTGGATGGGAGCAGGCGGGTAAGGGAATGTGTGATTGTTAGTCTCCTGGGAAACTAGTTTTAGCCATGTGGTTCGGAAGCAGGCACCGAATACATGATGTATGAGCAGCCCCTACCTTCAAGACTTCGTGTATCTCCGCACCGCTGTTGACTACCGGTGTCGTCTTTGCTGACCCAACGTCCACATTGGGTGCATTAGCTAAGGACCTTTCCAATACCGCGCATGCATGCGTCATGCGCTCATGTGCTGCACAGGCGATGTTTACGGAAGTCAAGAGCCAGAGGCGAGCCGTGAGAGCAACGGCGGCGATGGCGGCAACTGCAGGGCAAGAGGGCGCTGGTGGCGATGGCGGTGATGGGGCCTGATTGGTGGAGGCGGCAGCCGCAGCAGGGGCACCTGTTTGGGAGTGCCGGTTGCCTTCCTCGGGAATGGCAGCACATGATGATTGGGGCGGCAGGCAGCAGGGGGGCCGCAGCAGGGGGGCCGCGCTTGGGCCGCAGCAGGGGGGCCGCTTGCGTTCATCGGGAATGGTATGCTTGCAGGGCGCCTCATTTCAGGGTGGTGATGGGCGGGTTTGAAACATACACCTAGTCCTGAAGGCCCTGAAGGTTTCCTGTTGAAAGCTGCAGTAGAATATGCTGTGGCAATTAGGAGCAGTTCATTCGGGGTAGCTCTTAATGTTTTGTGCGCCTGTGTAACTTCGAATAGTGTGTTTTGGGACGAAAAGAGAAAAACATATGGAGGTAACCAACGAAGGGAAGTTGGACCATCACCGAAAAGGATTCTGCATACTTGTGACGGGGCCAAAACGCGTTTGCGCGGCAGAGCCACAATTGTTGAGTTGCAGTAGTCCTGGTATCCAAGGATCTGAGGAGGCGGACGGAGGTGTGGCCTGCCTAGGTGACCTGTTTCTGTGGACTTCATGAACCACGGTGAAACCAGCCTTTAGGTGTAGATTGATTTACCTCTGGATCTTATCCTGTACCTCCAAAGTATCTGCCTTGCAGCGGGTTGGCTGCCCTTGTGCTGTTTGGGCGGGGGGGTTTGTGGCCGATGGTCGGCCTTGCCGGACTTGGTTGGCTCGCCCCGCCGATTAGGGGCGTAGTCTTAGCGTTCACTCAAAATAGTCCGAGCCGAGGCGTTATGTCCTTTTTGTACCGTGTGCATGTCCTATGTGTACCCTTGTACAGTTTGTATGTACCTGCACCGAGGTCTCAGATTCGGTCGGACACGGTGGCGTAGTAATTGGTGTTGTGTTTTGAATACAACGGCATGTCGGAAAAAGTAAGAGGCTCGTATGTATGTATGTGTTACAAGCTTCGTACCGAGCTCGTAAGATCCGTCCGAGCCAGAAGGCTCATGGATCGCGAGCACAAAACGCGAAAACAACCAAAAGAAGAAAAGTAAACAAAAAAGACAACAAACAGAACGCTAATCATATGATAAACCCTGTCTGCGCAATCTTGCGACCAATCCAACGAACCAAACCCAAACCTCAATCGCCGATCCAACCCCAATCTAGCCCAACATCATTGCTGAAGTTGTGCGACCAGGTGCTGTTAGCCGGAGAGAGGCTGTGCATTGGCATACAATAGGCATCATCTTGACGCAAAAGGTGGGACAACCTACCCCTCCTTGCTAACAGGCTGTTTGACTGTGTTTCTATGGCGCGTGATAACTGGACGCACTGCGCTCGTCTTTTTATGGCGGTGGGGGGTGAGGGGCGGGTGAGGGAGCAGGCGGGGGGGATGAGGGGCGGGTGAGGGAGCAGGCGGGGGGGGGGGCGGGTGAGGGAGCAGGCGGGGGGGGTGAGGGGCGGGTGAGGGAGCAAGCGGGGGGGGATGAGGGGCGGGTGAGGGAGCAGGCGGGGGGGGTCGAGGGGCGGGTGAGGGAGCAGGCGGGGGGGTGAGGGAGCAGGCGGGGGGGGATGAGGGGCGGGTGAGGGAGCAGGCGGGGGGGGTGAGGGGCGGGGGGGGGGAGCAGGCGGGGGGGGGGTGAGTGGCGGGTGAGGGAGCAGGCGGGGGGGGTGAGGGGCGGGTGAGGGAACAGGCGGGGGGGGGCGAGGGAGCAGGCGGGGGGGGGGTGAGGGGTGGGTGAGGGAGCAGGCGGGGGTGGGATGAGGGGCGGGTGAGGTAGCAGGCGGGGGGGGTGAGGGGCGGGTGAGGGAGCAGGCGGGGGGGGGGGAAGGGGCGGGGGGGGGAGCGGGCGGGGGGGGGATGAGGGGCGGGTGAGGGAGCAAGCGGGGGGGGTGAGGGGCGGGTGAGGGAGCAAGCGGGGGGGTTGAGGGGCGGGTGAGGGAGCAGGCGGGGGGGTGAGGGGCGGGTGAGGGAGCAAGCGGGGGGGGATGAGGGGCGGGTAAGGGGGCAGGCGGGGGGGGTGAGGGGCGGGTGAGGGAGCAGGCGGGGGGGGGTAAGGGGCGGGGGGGGGAGCGGGCGGGGGGGGATGAGGGGCGGGGGGGGGAGCAGGCGGGGGGGGATGAGGGGCGGGTGGGGGAGCAGGCGGGGGGGGGAGAGGGGCGGGTGAGGGAGCAGGCGGGGGGGGGTGAGGGGCGGGTGAGGGAGCAGGCGGGGGGGGGTGAGGGGCGGGTGAGGGAGCAAGCGGGGGGGGTGAGGGGCGGGTGAGGGAGCAAGCGGGGGGGTTGAGGGGCGGGTGAGGGAGCAGGCGGGGGGATGAGGGGCGGGTGAGGGGGCAGGCGGGGGGGGGTGAGGGGCGGGTGAGGTAGCAGGCGGGGGGGGATGAGGGGCGGGTGAGGGAGCAGGCGGGGGGGGTGAGGGGCGGGTGAGGGAGCAGGCGGGGGGGGTGAGGGGCGGGTGAGGGAGCAGGCGGGGGGGGGTGAGGGGCGGGTGAGGGAGCAGGCGGGGGGGAAAAAAGAAATTCCAAAGTGTGGGATGGGGGGCGTGTGAGAGCATGCGTGGAGGGGGATGAAGATTCCGCATGAGGCTGGAGGGGGAGAGGGAGGGGCGGGAGGGAGAAGGCGGGTGAGGGGCGGGAATAGGCAGGGAGGAGAGGGTAGGAGAGGTGAGGAGGGAGGGGTGGATGGGAGCAGGCGGGTAAGGGAATGTGTGATTGTTAGTCTCCTGGGAAACTAGTTTTAGCCATGTGGTTCGGAAGCAGGCACCGAATACATGATGTATGAGCAGCCCCTACCTTCAAGACTTCGTGTATCTCCGCACCGCTGTTGACTACCGGTGTCGTCTTTGCTGACCCAACGTCCACATTGGGTGCATTAGCTAAGGACCTTTCCAATACCGCGCATGCATGCGTCATGCGCTCATGTGCTGCACAGGCGATGTTTACGGAAGTCAAGAGCCAGAGGCGAGCCGTGAGAGCAACGGCGGCGATGGCGGCAACTGCAGGGCAAGAGGGCGCTGGTGGCGATGGCGGTGATGGGGCCTGATTGGTGGAGGCGGCAGCCGCAGCAGGGGCACCTGTTTGGGAGTGCCGGTTGCCTTCCTCGGGAATGGCAGCACATGATGATTGGGGCGGCAGGCAGCAGGGGGGCCGCAGCAGGGGGGCCGCGCTTGGGCCGCAGCAGGGGGGCCGCTTGCGTTCATCGGGAATGGTATGCTTGCAGGGCGCCTCATTTCAGGGTGGTGATGGGCGGGTTTGAAACATACACCTAGTCCTGAAGGCCCTGAAGGTTTCCTGTTGAAAGCTGCAGTAGAATATGCTGTGGCAATTAGGAGCAGTTCATTCGGGGTAGCTCTTAATGTTTTGTGCGCCTGTGTAACTTCGAATAGTGTGTTTTGGGACGAAAAGAGAAAAACATATGGAGGTAACCAACGAAGGGAAGTTGGACCATCACCGAAAAGGATTCTGCATACTTGTGACGGGGCCAAAACGCGTTTGCGCGGCAGAGCCACAATTGTTGAGTTGCAGTAGTCCTGGTATCCAAGGATCTGAGGAGGCGGACGGAGGTGTGGCCTGCCTAGGTGACCTGTTTCTGTGGACTTCATGAACCACGGTGAAACCAGCCTTTAGGTGTAGATTGATTTACCTCTGGATCTTATCCTGTACCTCCAAAGTATCTGCCTTGCAGCGGGTTGGCTGCCCTTGTGCTGTTTGGGCGGGGGGGTTTGTGGCCGATGGTCGGCCTTGCCGGACTTGGTTGGCTCGCCCCGATTAGGGGCGTAGTCTTAGCGTTCACTCAAAATAGTCCGAGCCGAGGCGTTATGTCCTTTTTGTACCGTGTGCATGTCCTATGTGTACCCTTGTACAGTTTGTATGTACCTGCACCGAGGTCTCAGATTCGGTCGGACACGGTGGCGTAGTAATTGGTGTTGTGTTTTGAATACAACGGCATGTCGGAAAAAGTAAGAGGCTCGTATGTATGTATGTGTTACAAGCTTCGTACCGAGCTCGTAAGATCCGTCCGAGCCAGAAGGCTCATGGATCGCGAGCACAAAACGCGAAAACAACCAAAAGAAGAAAAGTAAACAAAAAAGACAACAAACAGAACGCTAATCATATGATAAACCCTGTCTGCGCAATCTTGCGACCAATCCAACGAACCAAACCCAAACCTCAATCGCCGATCCAACCCCAATCTAGCCCAACATCATTGCTGAAGTTGTGCGACCAGGTGCTGTTAGCCGCAGAGAGGCTGTGCATTGGCATACAATAGGCATCATCTTGACGCAAAAGGTGGGACAACCTACCCCTCCTTGCTAACAGGCTGTTTGACTGTGTTTCTATGGCGCGTGATAACTGGACGCACTGCGCTCGTCTTTTTATGGCGGTGGGCCAACCTAGGTTTTCAACCATGGCGGACTGTTTTAGCAAATGTCCGGTGGTGCGCCTGCATGCATACTTTGGGATAGAGGAGGTTGGTGGTGCACCTAGGGTTTTGCTCTTGTCGACCCATGCTCCCGTTTCCACTAGCTCTACACACCGCCAAACCTCGCGTCGATTCACAGGGAAGCAGGATCCCACAGGCACGCCCACGGACCGCACTGACGCTTCTATGCATAACACTAACATGTAATACGCATCCCAACTGTACGACCTCCCTCCATTCCGTTCCAACGGAGCCGGCACCGATATGTCCTAGGCAAGACTTGATAGCGAGTTTGAATTTAATAAAGGGGGCGAGCCCCAGTGTCTGCGAAGCTGACGGGTTTTCTGGCTGTTTTGCGCATGCTGTCGCGCTCGCTCACGGTGACTATGTTTCCTCTCCTCGGTCCAGGTTTAGGAATGGATCCGGCGGAAGGGTTTTGCCCGACTCTTACCGGGCGGTCCCCAGAACACCAGGGTCGTCTATATTTTGGAGGCAGACTGCCTAAGAGTCCTTCACACGGCGTGGTACGCGCGGCCTGCAAATACTAGGTTGGCTCGCCCCGTGAAATGGTGCGTATGCCTTACAGCTCACCTAGATTGCACCTGTAGTAGAAAGATAAAATAAGGTCGGCGTTGGACTTCTAGTGCATCGCGATGATGACGTACAGCAGAGAGAATGCAAAAGCGCGGAAACTCGTTGATTGGGCACGGAAGGAGCTGACGCACTGAAACACATACATAAACCTTCAAAGCAAGCAACGCACACAAAAACTAGCAAAGCAACACACGACATACACGTTGTGGCGGTGGGTCTGTTGTTTTGGGTGTCTCTCCGCGGTTGCAATGCTTCTGCTGGGCCTGTCCTGTTGCAGGAACGTCATAACCTGAGGCCATTTATACAGCCACCAAACCAGGTGTTGTTGTTTACTCTTATTAACCTAGTGAATAGGCGCAACCAATGTTTACTACATCAGGGTACGAGCGGTAACTGGAGCGCGGCTGCGAAACTGTTTTAACAAATTGACCTCCGTGCAAAAACCCTGCGAAACTATGCAACTAGCGTGGAGTGTCGCAGCCGTTTGTGGAGCTCTTGTCTCCCTTGGCACCTTATGCATGTTGGTGGGGGAAGGGGCTGGTGCCCCTTCCCCCATACCCCCATACCCCCTTACATGGGCATACCCCCATACCTTGCAGACGCGTCCGATGCATCAAGGGCAAAACGTTTGCTCTCGAAATAAGTTGCCTCTGACCTGTTCCCAATCCCCTTGCTGTAAGTGCCCTGTTGTTGCAATTCCTTGGGGATTGTTATACGCTTAGCTTTCATTGTTCGCATCTTATGGCTTTCTGCCGTTGTTTCTCTGGATTGTCGCTTTGTTGCTAATTTTTGTTGGCATGGCGTCCATGGCTCCGTGCTCAAGTGCAGGTCTTATGCATGCACGGTACTGTTGCAACTGGATATATATTTCGCAGCCCCTTGTAGACTGAATTTTGCCAGTGTTGTGTGGTCGGGAACGAGACTTCACTTGTTGAGCGCATGTTGGTGACGTCGATGCTAAAGCTTAGGTCTTCCGCAGTCGCCGTAGGTATGCCTCATGTTTACTTCGTGTTGCAGCGTTTGCCAAATGCTACCTGTTGTCATGGGAGGAGCTGCTGTTAAGCTGTTTGCTAGCTGCAATGCAGTACAATTAGCCTTTTTGCGACTTTAGCCAGGATCCGCCTTTGACCTGCCTGCATTTATGCAAAGCAAACTGCCCAGCGGCTGCATGCGCTTAATGGTGTTACTTTACGTTCCGTTTTCCGTTGAGTCCGCTACGACAAAGGAAGCTGCGCGAAGGTGACAGCACGATTGAGCGACTCTGCGAATAACTGTGAAACCTCTAAATTGAAGCGTATTTTCAGAGGAATGCGTTGCGATTGGGATGGCAGCCCCAGCCCTGTTACCCACGCATCCAACCCTCGAAGGCAGCATTTCAAAGGCAGCACAATTGTCATGCAATGTTGTGTGCCATTGCCGAGCCCTGGCGCGGTATGGAGCTCTTTGTTGACAAGGTCAACGCGACATGCAGTGGTAATGGCACGGGAACACCACTGATTTGACGCAACAAAGATAATGTCTGATGCTCAGAGGGCGCATATTGTACATCCTAGAGTCCTGCAAGGCTCAATACCGCACGCTCGTCAGAAAGGAGCTTCATGTACAGCAAGCGTCGAAACTGCAAAAACTAGTTTCGGCATTTTGGCAAGCCAGCTCCGGGTTGCAATAACTAGTTAAAACAGTTTCGCGGAGTTTATGTTTCGCGGAGCTTCGGTTACCGCTCGAACCCTGTACTACATAGATGTCGTAGATGATGCGGCATGGTTCTACCGTCTACTTTGCGTGTATGCCAGAACTGTTTTTGTTAGTGACCGAATTGCTTTCACTCAAACCACTGGCGGTTCGCTATTAATTACGCTTTTGCCTTCAGCCGCCAAATATGGGTTCTAGCTTACCGGGAGCTTGCTCATCGCTACCTTGCGGTTTGCATTAGGCAAGTACTGCCCACTATAGGCTTACCGCAATTGTTGGGTTTTCTCCGCGCCGCATTAGTCGTCGAAGTCGCCAACTCCATGCCTGCTCGCATGAGGTACTACTAGATACCTTACAACCTTAATATTTTCAGCAGTAGTGCCTTTGAGTTACGCAGAAGGAGGGCGCTACAAGGGACAAACCCTTTGCTGCAATGCCCGAACTATGAGCACGGCTTGCTTTGCTGCATCAAAACGTTAACAATGCTGAGGCGTTTCGGTAGCAGCCGCGACAAGTCCGGTATGGTCGGATTGCTGTTACTTACCTTGTTGGTGGCAAGCTTACAGGCGTACATGAGTAAGTGCGGGCTGATAATACTATCGACTTGTATTATTGTACCGGTATAAATGCTGCATTAAAAACCTCCAGCTCAGGCGGGATATCCTTCGGGATGTTATCCCTTCGGACTTAGGGATTAATCGTCGGGACCTGTCCTAAACCCTTGATTAGCGCTTCAACGTGTTTTAAATAACCGACATAGCAATTCTAAGGGAGTTTTCAAGTATTATCGGGATTGTATATTAAAACGAACTTCCACCCTCTACCCTCCAACTGTGCCACAACCAGGTGACGCGGCAAACATAGCCCTGAGGAAGAAAACATACGCCTCCTCGATCTTCAGCAGCAGTTATAACAGCAGTTACGCCGTTGATGGTGCAGTGAGCAAAACTGCAGCCTTCTTCATGTCAGCTGGTGATGTGGACACGGATCCTTGGTTTTCTGTTGACCTTGGCGGTCTTGCCAATATTACATCCGTGTCCATCTACACCCGCTGCGATTGCTGTGTTAATCGCACAAGGAATGCGGAGCTACGTATTGGCAATGCCAGCATTACCTCGCGAGAGGACAATGTTAATTACAACAAGATGGTAGCAAACGGGATTGCTCCGGATAAGTTGTGCTCGCCATACAGTATTAGCATGTTAACTGAGACAATTGGGCGATGGGTAACATTTCAAAATCACAATCCTGGTTGCACTGGTATAGAATGTGCCCTGCAGATCATCGAGTTACAAGTCTTTGGCACTGTCGGTAAGCATGTTGGGACGGCGGGGTGTTGCAGCGGTAATTTACCAGGTGCTGCAGAACCATGCATGTACGTCTAACAGGGCCTTGTTTTTAGAGTGCCATACTACTAGAAAGCAGGTCGGTTACTAGCTACCTTTATGTCATGCATGCTGATTTCGTTGCCTAGCCGCCGTTGATTGGACAAACTATTCTTTGTTGCGTACTACGACATCCTAGCAGTCTCACTCAGCCCTATTCTCCTCTCCTCCTCATTACCCTTACTTGCAGTGCCGTACCCACCACCAGCTCCACCCCCTCCACCACCTAGTCCCCCTCCACCACCACCACCACCACCACCATCTACAACCGTCACACCCAACCTGGCAGTTGGCGTGCCGTCGTATTCATCATCAGTTGAAACATGGAATGGCGCATATGAGTTGGCCCCTCACTTTGCTATTGATGGCGTCATGGAGCCAGACAACGACCCGGACAGGCCCAACATCTTCATGTCAAGCAGTGATGGTCATGATTCTTTGCCTTGGATCTCTTTCAACCTTGGCAATCCCGCCTTCATCACAATGATCGTCTTGTGGACTCGCTGTGACTGTGGCTCTGACTGTGTACTGTGGACAGTGGATGGAGACCTGCGAATCGGTAACACCCCTATGTTCGGCCCTCAAGACACGAGCAACCTCCAATACAATCGGCTTGTGTTTCATGGAATCAACCCCATCGCGGAATGCACTCCTTACGTTGTCAAGCTTACTGAACCGGTACTTGGTCAATGGGTGGTAATCCAGAACCAGAACACTGATTGCGCCCTTTATGACCCGGTAACATGCACGCTTGGGCTCCTTGAGGTTGAGATCTACGGTGATTTTGGTAAGTTTCTTCTAATGCATGCACCTGTATATACGATAGCATAGATAGATAAGCTGCCTATTTATATGTGTATATGCATGCCCGTTGCATTATTGGGTAGGTGTGTGTTAGCTGCTGTTAGCGCGTTAGGTGCTGCACAGCAAATGCACCTCTTAACATGATAGTACCTGCCTGTAGATGAATCTTCCTCTGGTCTACAGAAAAAACACCAATTGCATCTTCACAATGCCCTGGTAACCTCTGTGTCATGTGTCCCCTACCTTATTGTGCAGCACCCTCACCACCTTTGCCACCGTCTCCTTCACCACCTCGTCCACCATCTCCACCACAACTTCCCCAACCGCCGCCGTCCCCCTCACCATCACCGTCCCCCTCACCGTCACCGTCCCCCTCACCGTCACCGTCCCCCTCACCGTCACCGTCCCCCTCACCATCACCGTCCCCCTCCCCATCACCCTCCCCCTCCCCGTCACCGTCCCCCTCCCCGTCACCGTCCCCCTCCCCGTCACCGTCCCCCTCCCCGTCACCGTCCCCCTCCCCATCACCGTCCCCCTCCCCATCACCCTCCCCCTCCCCCGTCACCGTCCCCCTCCCCATCACCGTCCCCCTCCCCGTCACCGTCCCCCTCACCATCACCGTCCCCCTCACCATCACCGTCCCCCTCACCATCACCGTCCCCCTCACCGTCACCATCCCCCTCACCATCCCCCTCACCGTCACCGTCCCCCTCACCGTCACCCTCCCCCTCACCGTCACCCTCCCCCTCACCGTCACCCTCCCCCTCACCGTCACCCTCCCCCTCACCGTCACCGTCCCCCTCCCCGTCACCGTCCCCCTCCCCGTCACCGTCCCCCTCCCCGTCACCGTCCCCCTCCCCATCACCGTCCCCCTCCCCGTCACCGTCCCCCTCCCCGTCACCCTCCCCCTCCCCATCACCCTCCCCCTCCCCGTCACCGTCCCCGTCCCCATCACCGTCCCCGTCCCCATCACCGTCCCCGTCCCCATCACCGTCCCCCTCCCCGTCACCGTCCCCCTCCCCGTCACCGTCCCCCTCCCCGTCACCGTCCCCCTCCCCATCACCGTCCCCCTCCCCCTCCCCCTCCCCCTCACCGTCACCGTCCCCCTCCCCGTCACCGTCCCCCTCCCCGTCACCGTCCCCCTCCCCATCACCCTCCCCCTCACCGTCACCCTCCCCCTCACCGTCACCGTCCCCCTCCCCGTCACCGTCCCCCTCCCCGTCACCGTCCCCCTCCCCGTCACCGTCCCCCTCCCCATCACCGTCCCCCTCCCCGTCACCGTCCCCCTCCCCGTCACCGTCCCCCTCCCCGTCACCCTCCCCCTCCCCATCACCCTCCCCCTCCCCGTCACCGTCCCCGTCCCCATCACCGTCCCCGTCCCCATCACCGTCCCCGTCCCCATCACCGTCCCCCTCCCCGTCACCGTCCCCCTCCCCGTCACCGTCCCCCTCCCCGTCACCGTCCCCCTCCCCATCACCGTCCCCCTCCCCCTCCCCCTCCCCCTCACCGTCACCGTCCCCCTCCCCGTCACCGTCCCCCTCCCCATCACCGTCCCCCTCCCCATCACCGTCCCCGTCCCCATCACCGTCCCCGTCCCCATCACCGTCCCCCTCCCCGTCACCGTCCCCCTCCCCATCACCGTCCCCCTCCCCGTCACCGTCCCCCTCCCCGTCACCGTCCCCCTCCCCATCACCCTCCCCCTCCCCATCAACCTCCCCCTCACCGTCACCGTCCCCCTCCACGTCCCCCTCCCCCTCACCGTCCCCCTCCCCCTCACCGTCCCCCTCACCGTCACCGTCCCCCTCACCGTCACCGTCCCCCTCGCCGTCACCGTCCCCTTCCCCATCGCCGTCCCCCTCCCCATCACCGTCCCCCTCCCCATCACCGTCCCCCTCACCATCACCGTCCCCGTCACCATCACCGTCCCCTACACCATCACCGTCCCCCTCGCCATCACCCTCCCCTTCACCGTCACCGTCCCCCTCACCGTCACCGCCCAGCCCTGACCCCTCACCACCCAGCCCATCTCCTCCAAGCCCTCATCCTTCCCCGCCCAGTCCGTCACCCCCCAGCCCCCACCCTTCACCACCCAGTCCGTCACCGCCCAGCCCTGACCCCTCACCACCCAGCCCCTCACCCCCCAGCCCCGATCCTTCACCACCCAGTCCGTCACCGCCCAGCCCCCACCCTTCACCACCCAATCCGTCACCGCCCAGCCCTCGCCCTTCACCACCCAGTCCGTCACCGCCCAGCCCCCACCCTTCACCACCCAGTCCGTCACCGCCGAGCCCTCGCCCTTCACCACCCAGCCCCTCACCGCCAAGCCCTGACCCTTCACCACCCAGCCCCTCACCCCCCAGCCCTGATCCTTCACCACCCAGTCCGTCACCCCCCAGCCCCCACCCTTCACCACCCAGCCCCTCACCGCCAAGCCCCCACCCCTCACCACCCAGCCCCTTACCGCCCAGCCCTGACCCCTCACCACCCAGTCCGTCACCGCCCAGCCCTCGCCCTTCACCACCCAGTCCGTCACCGCCCAGCCCCCACCCTTCACCACCCAGTCCGTCACCCCCCAGCCCCCACCCCTCACCACCCAGTCCGTCACCCCCCAGCCCCCACCCTTCACCACCCAGTCCGTCACCGCCGAGCCCTCGCCCTTCACCACCCAGCCCCTCACCGCCAAGCCCTGACCCTTCACCCCCCAGCCCCTCACCCCCCAGCCCTGATCCTTCACCACCCAGTCCGTCACCCCCCAGCCCCCACCCTTCACCACCCAGCCCCTCACCGCCAAGCCCCCACCCCTCACCACCCAGCCCCTTACCGCCCAGCCCTGACCCCTCACCACCCAGTCCTTCACCGCCCAGCCCCGATCCTTCACCACCCAGTCCGTCACCGCCCAGCCCTCGCCCTTCACCACCCAGCCCCTCACCGCCAAGCCCTGACCCTTCACCACCCAGCCCCTCACCCCCCAGCCCCGACCCTTCACCACCCAGTCCGTCACCCCCCAGCCCTCACCCTTCACCACCCAGTCCGTCACCCCCCAGCCCCAATCCTTCACCACCCAGTCCGTCACCGCCCAGCCCTCGCCCTTCAACACCCAGTCCGTCACCGCCCAGCCCTCGCCCTTCACCACCAAGCCCCTCACCGCCCAGCCCTGACCCCTCACCACCCAGCCCCTCACCCCCCAGCCCTGATCCTTCACCACCCAGTCCGTCACCCCCCAGCCCTCACCCTTCACCACCCAGTCCGTCACCCCCCAGCCCCAATCCTTCACCACCCAGTCCGTCACCGCCCAGCCCTCGCCCTTCACCACCCAGTCCGTCACCGCCCAGCCCTCGCCCTTCACCACCAAGCCCCTCACCGCCCAGCCCTGACCCCTCACCACCCAGCCCCTCACCCCCCAGCCCCCACCCTTCACCACCCAGCCCCTCACCGCCAAGCCCCCACCCCTCACCACCAAGCCCCTCACCGCCCAGCCCTGACCCCTCACCACCCAGCCCCTCACCCCCCAGCCCTGATCCTTCACCACCCAGTCCGTCACCCCCCAGCCCCCACCCTTCACCACCCAGCCCCTCACCGCCAAGCCCTCACCCCTCACCACCCAGCCCCTCACCGCCCAGCCCTGACCCCTCACCACCCAGTCCGTCACCCCCCAGCCCCGATCCTTCACCACCAACTCCTTCACCGCCCAGCCCTCGCCCTTCACCACCCAGCCCCTCACCGCCCAGCCCTGACCCCTCACCACCCAGCCCCTCACCGCCCAGCCCTGACCCCTCACCACCCAGCCCCTCACCGCCCAGCCCCGATCCTTCACCACCCAGTCCGTCACCCCCCAGCCCCCACCCTTCACCACCCAGTCCGTCACCGCCAAGCCCTGACCCTTCACCACCCAGCCCCTCACCCCCCAGCCCTGATCCTTCACCCCCCAGTCCGTCACCCCCCAGCCCCCACCCTTCACCACCCAGCCCCTCACCGCCAAGCCCTGACCCCTCACCACCCAGCCCTTCACCGCCCAGCCCTGACCCCTCACCACCCAGCCCCTCACCGCCCAGCCCCGATCCTTCACCACCCAGTCCGTCACCCCCCAGCCCCCACCCCTCACCACCCAGTCCGTCACCGCCAAGCCCTGACCCTTCACCCCCCAGCCCCTCACCCCCCAGCCCTGATCCTTCACCACCCAGTCCGTCACCCCCCAGCCCCCACCCTTCACCACCCAGCCCCTCACCGCCAAGCCCTGACCCCTCACCACCCAGCCCCTCACCGCCCAGCCCTGACCCCTCACCACCCAGCCCCTCACCGCCCAGCCCCGATCCTTCACCACCCAGTCCGTCACCCCCCAGCCCCCACCCTTCACCACCCAGTCCGTCACCGCCCAGCCCTGACCCCTCACCACCCAGTCCGTCACCCCCCAGCCCCGATCCATCACCACCCAGTCCGTCACCGCCCAGCCCTCGCCCTTCACCACCCAGCCCCTCACCGCCAAGCCCTGACCCTTCACCACCCAGCCCCTCACCCCCCAGCCCTGATCCTTCACCACCCAGTCCGTCACCCCCCAACCCCCACCCTTCACCACCCAGCCCCTCACCGCCCAGCCCTGACCCCTCACCACCCAGCCCCTCACCGCCCAGCCCTGACCCTTCACCCCCCAGCCCCTCACCCCCCAGCCCTGATCCTTCACCACCCAGTCCGTCACCCCCCAGCCCCCACCCTTCACCACCCAGCCCCTCACCGCCAAGCCCTGACCCCTCACCACCCAGCCCCTCACCGCCCAGCCCTGACCCCTCACCACCCAGCCCCTCACCGCCCAGCCCCGATCCTTCACCACCCAGTCCGTCACCCCCCAGCCCCCACCCTTCACCACCCAGTCCGTCACCGCCCAGCCCTGACCCCTCACCACCCAGTCCGTCACCCCCCAGCCCCGATCCATCACCACCCAGTCCGTCACCGCCCAGCCCTCGCCCTTCACCACCCAGCCCCTCACCGCCAAGCCCTGACCCTTCACCACCCAGCCCCTCACCCCCCAGCCCTGACCCCTCACCACCCAGCCCCTCACCGCCCAGCCCCGATCCTTCACCACCCAGTCCGTCACCCCCCAACCCCCACCCTTCACCACCCAGCCCCTCACCCCCCAGCCCCCACCCTTCACCACCCAGCCCCTCACCGCCCAGCCCTGACCCTTCACCCCCCAGCCCCTCACCCCCCAGCCCTGATCCTTCACCACCCAGTCCGTCACCCCCCAGCCCCCACCCTTCACCACCCAGCCCCTCACCGCCCAGCCCTAACCCCTCACCACCCAGCCCCTCACCGCCAAGCCCTGACCCTTCACCACCCAGCCCCTCACCGCCAAGCCCTGACCCCTCACCACCCAGCCCCTCACCCCCCAGCCCCGATCCTTCACCCCCCAGCCCCTCACCCCCCAGCCCTGATCCTTCACCACCCAGTCCGTCACCCCCCAGCCCCCACCCTTCACCACCCAGCCCCTCACCGCCCAGCCCTGACCCCTCACCCCCCAGCCCCTCACCGCCAAGCCCTGACCCTTCACCACCCAGTCCGTCACCCCCCAGCCCTGACCCCTCACCCCCCAGCCCCTCACCGCCCAGCCCTGACCCCTCACCACCCAGCCCCTCACCGCCCAGCCCTGACCCCTCACCACCCAGCCCCTCACCGCCAAGCCCTGAACCTTCACCACCCAGCCCCTCACCGCCAAGCCCTGAACCTTCACCCCCCAGCCCGTCACCCCCCAGCCCTGATCCCTCACCACCCAGTCCGTCACCCCCCAGCCCCGATCCTTCACCACCCAGTCCGTCACCCCCCAGCCCCGATCCTTCACCACCCAGTCCGTCACCGCCCAGCCCTCGCCCTTCACCACCCAGCCCCTCACCGCCCAGCCCTGACCCCTCACCACCCAGCCCCTCACCCCCCAGCCCCCACCCTTCACCACCCAGTCCGTCACCGCCAAGCCCTGACCCCTCACCACCCAGCCCCTCACCGCCCAGCCCTGACCCCTCACCACCCAGCCCCTCACCGCCAAGCCCTCGCCCTTCACCACCCAGCCCCTCACCGCCCAGCCCTGACCCTTCAC